TTTACTCTGTTACCATTTAAAAAAAAAAAAAAATGGCGATTTGTCACGGTTTAAAAAAAAAAAAAAAAAAATTTAAATACCGCCGAAAAAAAATTATTATTATTATTAATATTAATAATTAATGGTTTAAATGAACGTGGGTTTAATGACGTAATTTTTTGTTTAAATTTCATTGTCATTGCTATCGTAAATCTATTTTATTAATTATTATTATTTTTCAATAATTATTAGTTTTGTATTATGTATGTATTAATTAACCTCATCGTTCATCGTGTTGTTAATTGTTAAAAAAATTATTTAAATGTCGCGTTAAGTAACGTTATTTTCTAACAACAATGATAATAGAAAAATTTTCCACAGTGGCACCAGACTTTTTTTTTAAAAATGTTTTCACAAAAGATTTATTAAACGATAAATAGTAGTAATTGAATAAGAAAATTTTTACATATCGTGTAAGAAGTCAGCCATTTTTAAATTTGATTTCCTTCGTGAAAAATTATTAGTCTTTATCCAACTCGAAATTATGCATTAAAACATTATTTATTAAATATTTTTTTTCAAACGTGACGTCATTACAAAAAAAACAATAACTGTTTAATGATAATAATAATAATAATAAGGATATCATTGCGTATAAATAACTGAGAATTTGACATTGTTAACACGAACAAAACGTATTTCATCTACGCATAAGGTTAGAGTTATGCATTTAAAAAAAAAAAATTTATAAAATAATAATAATAATAATACTAATGTTTATTTAAATTAATTTTTTTTTTACATAATACATTATTTATGATGGGAGTTTTATAGTTTAGGTAATTTTAATGACATGATAATATCATTATTATCACATTATTTAAATTGTTTTAAAGTTATCTGCGTGGCGTTAAAAATAGTAAATAAATAAATTTAAAAAAAAAAAAAAACAAAGACGAAGGAAGGGGGGCAGGGGGGGCTTTTTGATTTATTAGCAACAAATGTGGCGCCTTTAAAAAATGAGTTTTTTTTTTTTTAATTAAGAACGAGATTGTTAATTTTCCTCTTTTTTTCTGGAAATTTCGATTTATTTATATTTTATCAATAAATGAAAATACATTAGTGGAAATTTTACGTAATCGATAATTTTTTACATATGAAAATTTTGTTGGTGTTACGTAATGACGTTTAAATTAAATTTTTGCAAGGTTTATTTATAAAATGGCTTTGTATTTTTGTTTTTTTTTTTTATTTTAAAAAAACTAAAATTTAAACGTAGAAATCGTTTTTTAGTATAATAATAATAATAATAATAATAATAATAATGATATTCAAATTTTAGTTTTGTTAGTGGCACATACATTAATTTTTATTAACTTTTCCAATGTTTAAGTAAAATTTTTTAAATCGCCATTTTTTTTTTTATATATAAAATTAAAAGAAGATGAAAAAAATAATAATAATAATAATAATTTTTTTTTGGTAAACTTTAAATGGCATTACGGAAATGGGAAGTAATAATAACAGTAATAATAATAATAATAATAATAATAATAATAATAGTAATAAAAACTTACCAAATTAGAACATCGTACTAAAATCCTATCAACCGGCGATTTAGAATTTTGTGCTTGTTCTACTCTTTCTCTACACCAAGCAATGCCCATTTTCTTTTCTTTTTTTTTTTTTTTTTAAATGCACGCACTTTTTTTCGGTATGAATAACAAAAAAAAAAAGAAAATTATTTCGTCAAGTTCCAAATTTCATTTTCGTTATTAATTAAATTTAATATTAATAATAATAATAATTTTATTTTTATTTTTCCGTTCACAAAAACGAATTATTATTATTATTTAGTCTCCGGTAGCAACTTTAATGTTGTAACGTAACTGAATATTATTACAATGATAAAAGTTGATTTTTCCTAAAAAAAAAAAAAAAAAAAAAAAAAAGACAAACCCACAAATGTATAAATAATATAAAATTCCACAATCGTAATAAATTTCAATTTAATTTCCTCTCTCCTCAAAAAAAAGAAAAATTAATTGTAACAATAATAATAATAATAATAAATGATGATGATGATAAAAGAAAAAAAAAATTAAAAAATTTACATCAATCATACCTCATCGCTTGTTTCTTATAGCGAGAGTTATCGCGACTGTTTACTATTTGCACTCTGACGATCATGTGATATTACGAATCTTGTGATATCTAAAACCGCAAAATAATGACGACGATTCCATAATAGTTGTAGTAGTAGTAGTAGTAGTAGTAGTAGCAGTAGTAATATACCTGAAATTCAAATTCGATTCGTTTAACATGTCTCTTTTAAATTTTGCTATTTTTTTCTTTTCTTTTTTCTTTTTTGTTAAATGATCGAAACACGCATAAAATAAATATATTCGCTTCGCTCCTTTTTATTTTTTTTACTCTCGATTAAAAATATTTAATTTATTTATATATATATATATATATATAAAATCACGCCTTTGTTGTTTCAATACCTTCAACCTTGTTTTCATCTCTCATATATATTTTTTTTTCTTCTTTTTTTTTTATTTTTTATGCTAATTGAGTTTTATTATGTTTGAAAAAAAAATGTATTCAAACAAATCAAAATAAAAATTTATTTATTGAAAAAAAAATAATAAAAAAAGGATTCGTTAATGAAAAGGCATATTTTTTTTTTTATTCGAATGAATGAATGAATAAAAGCATAATTATTATTATTATTAATAAAAACTCGACGATATGGAATTTTTATATATATTATTTATTCTTATTAATTTAAAAAATGTTTTTAATAAAAATTAAAACTTATATTATTTTTTATTATTTTTGTTTCAGTATCTGTCGTTGTTTTGCTTCTGATTGATGGATCCCGCATTGATAAATTTTGGAGGGAAAAAAAATGATCCGCGTTATAAAATCAGGTATTTAGTTTTATATTTACTTTACATTTAATTTTTATTACGAAATTTAAAGGTTAAAATCTAGAATGAATACAAAAAAAAAAATTAAATTAAATTAATGAGGTAATCAAATAAACGTTTAAATTAAATTTTAACAAATTTCGTAATAAAGTGTATCAGTCGTAAATAAGTGTAAATTTATCAAATCTTTTTATTATTTATCTGCTAAGCAAAACAAAACGAAAAAAAAAAGTTTCGTAAACGTTCGAAAGGTTATATTAATTTTACTTTCCCCCCCCTTCCCCGCGAATATTTAATGATAATATTTATATGTAAAAAAAAAAAAAAAAAATTTTAAAAACATGTGTAAACACAAAAAAAAATTTTTTTAATTCGAGTCGAAATCTCAGACATGACAAAAAAAATAAAAGAAAAACTCTAAAAAGGAAAAAATGTCTACTCTGCACACCCATTTGTATAAAATGGGATTTATGTTTTTTAATAAAGAAAAAAAAAAAAAGAATAAAAAAAAATATATATATATATAAAAACTCGTAAAACATATATATATATGTATAATGTAGGCGATGAACTACTTTTAATTTTGTCGAGGTCGTTTATTTGTAAATAAATAACGTGTAATCAGAATGAAAATAAAGTTGTAGATTATTATATATATATATATGTATACAAGTAACCTTTCGGGAATAGAAATTAATTAAAAAAAAAAAAAAAAAACGCTGAAAAGATTCATATATATATATAAATGACAAAAATCGTCGTGTATTCGATTTCATATTTTTTTTTTTTTTACATATATATATATATACAAAAGATTTGCTTACGAGACATATAAATAATTTTTTTTACGTTATTTGTTTTTCTCTTACAAAAAAATTTTAAAAGTACGAGACGAGTAATTAATTTGATAGAAAGAAAAAACAATAGAAAAAAAAATTAGGTCGAAATTTTAAACTTTAAATTTTTTAATTCATTCGAATATTATTTTTCTTTAATGTTTTTTTTAAAACATTCGTATGAAACGTTGTTGTTGTTGTTGTTGGCTTATAAAAAGACAATTCAAGGGTAAACATAACAAAAACGTCAACGAGTTTAATTCTAGTTTACATTTGTACAGGGAAATAACCAGAAGTAACAAAAAAAAAAAAAAAAAAAAATTATTCCTATGCGTGGGTTTTTTTTTCTCTCTCTCTCTCTCTCTTTCTTGTTGGAAACAAACCTGATCGAGTCTATTAATTTAAATATAAAACTTCGTAAGATTAATATTAAAAAAAAAAAAAAAAAATCTGTTGTGTTCGCGCCTACTTTAAATATATACTACCTTTTCTCTCCTCATTATGATTCCCCCACAATTTTTTAAAAAGCGTTAATTAGATTTAAGTCATTGTCAAACATTTTGTTTTCTTTACATATATCGATTAACGTGCATTAACCAATAACATTAATTAAACTCGATAGAATATTTTAAGGGTGTAAATTGAGTGCAAATTATATTTTCAAATCGTTGACGACATCCATTTTTTTTTTTTTTTTTTATTTTTTTCGAAGGTTACGTAACATTTATAAAAAATATATAAATATATGTGTAGTATTAGTGGTGGAAAGGTTTAGTTTTTAACTAAAAAACCCAATTAAGTTTTTTGTTGTTGTTGTTTGAATGACGATGATTATGTAACCTTGACCAAAGACCAATAAGTTGTCCACCACTTAGATTAAACCACCTACCTACCTGCTAGGAAACTTGTTATACTTTATTAGTTCTCTTACATCCCACGTGTAATGAATATTTTTTTTTTATTTTCCTCGCTAATAATTCAATATTTGACTGTTTCGCCAAAAACAACGATCCGACAAACAAACAAACCGAAAAATTATTTTTAAAAAAAGGGGGGGGGGAAGGGGGGAGGGTTGGTTGTAAAATGTTAACAAAACAACAACACAAAATGTACGAGTCATTAAAAAATTTTTTTTTTTTTTTTTTTTTTTTATTAGCGACTTATTATTATTATTATTAAAGTTTATCTTTTATTATTGTTATTTTTAATAGTTTTAAAATTTATTGTTTAAGTTATTATAACAAAATCCTCCTCCTCCTCCTCCTCCTCCGACAACGACGACGACGACTAACTAACTATGATTTTACACTCGTAATAATAAAAAGAATAAGAAAATTTATTAAATAAATTTTACGTTATCTGAGGTCAGTGTCAGCATGAGTTTTTTTTTCTCGCGAAAGAAAGATCGATTCGATTCGATTCGATAATGATGATAATGGCGGTAAAAATATTAATAAAAAAGTGAAAAAAAATAAAAAAAATTTGATTCTCACGCGCGCACAAAACGATTGCGTAACGTTTTTTTTAACTTGACACACACACACACACGCGGTTAACTCACTGTCACTGTCAAGGGAAACCTACATAAACGATTAAATTTTTTTTTTTTTTTTTTTTTTTATTTGTCAAAATATTCGTTGCGAATTATTATTAAACGAATAGAACGAATTTCTATTCGGGTGGGGGGGGCGGTGGGGAGGCATTAACGATTTTTTATTGTCGTAATAATAATAATTATTATTATTATTTCCAGTTCAAAAAAAAAAAAAATATTTTACCCTGCAACGACGAGACGATTATCTTGTGTAATTTACCCATGTTATAAAATTAAATGAGTCTCGAATGGATTTTAAAAATAGAAAAAATAAGTTTCAGGTAGTTTTTATAAGATTTTAAATTCTTTTATAAACGTTGTTGTTGTTGTTGTTAAAGGTTTTACATTTTCGATGGTATTAATACGAATAAAAAAAAATATGTCGAAATGGTTGTTTTGATTTAATTTGAATTTGGACAAAAAAATTTGTTTATTATCCCGATATTATTTTGAGATGAGATAGGATCGAGTTGTATGTTAAAAATTTCATTCATTGATTTGGTAAAAAATCCAATCATTTATTTAATCCCACATTATTATTATGGCGGTGGTACCAATCCTACAAGTGTCAATGAGTTTTAGCGCACCCTATAGATTCAATGTACTCGGTACCCTCTGGTTTAATGCATTATCACATATAAAAGTTTTTTAAATGAGTATTGAACCCACGCATTACAGTTCAATAAAACTTTATTGTTGGATAGAAATAAAAAAGAAAAATTGTGTATTACACAATTTATCTAGCTGTGTAAATGAGACACACCCGATGTTTGCCTTTTCCGAATATAAATAATAACTTTTTCTTTTCTTTTCTTTTCTTAACGTTTTGCAACAAGTGCGTAAAAGGATAATAATAATAATAATAATATACAATAATAAATTATTTTTTTTAATAAATTTTGGGGAAAAAGTTATGAAATATTTATGAAAATAAAATTTAGAAAAAATGAGAGAGAAAATTTTTAATTTAAAATATTCCAAAAAAAAATTTTTTTTTCCAATTGTTGTACAGTTCAATAGTTTTGTCGTCCGTTATTATTATTATTATTATTCTATTTATAAAACTAACAGTAAAAAAAAAAAAAAAAAAAAAAAAATTTGGGAGGTATTGTTTTCGTACAGGTCAAAAATATTTAAATTTAAAATTTAGTTTTCGCGTTGATTTTGTACGTAGAGGGTTGTGAGACGAACGTTCATCCCTTAATAAATATAATTTTTAAATTTTTGTGAATTTATAAGATAATTTAAAAAAAAAAATAAGGGAGGTAAGTAAATTTTTCTAAATTTAAATTTTCTTTGTTGTTTTGGCGTTAAAAAAAAAAAAAAAAGAAAATTTTTAGCAATTTTTTGTTAAATAGATCATGGAAATAAGAAAATTATCAACGTGTATTTTTTTGATATTGATAATTTATGATGACGTCATCACGTCAGCATTCGAAAAAATTAAAAAAGTCGAAGAAGAAGAAATAAAAGAAAGTAAAGCTCCGGAACTCAGTTTCACGTTTCCATCCATGTCGTCGTTTTCCATGCCAGATTTTGGCATGTCACGTTTACCCTTTTTACAAGCTCTTGCAAATTTAGGAGGACAGTATCAAAATTCAAAAGCGACGAAAACGGAATATCTGGAGGTGAATATTTGTGTCAGAGAATTTTGCGAACGGAAACGACAGAAAATATTTATTAATTTTTTTTTTTTTTTAGGTTACTCGGAGACATACGACTCATCCCGTTTGTTACACAGCCTATGAACGTTTACCACCATGTTTATCACACGATTCGAGAACAGATGACGACGATTACGATGATATCGAACTCGATTCTCAGTATCAATCGAATAACAATTACGAATTGAACCAAGTAAGAAAATCTTTTATAGATCCAACGCCGACGGTTCAAATTCGTGAAACGAAAATTTTGAGTAATGGAGAAAATGGCGGAGTCAATCACAGAAAGCCAAAATATCTTAAATTTAAATTCAGAGAAGAAAAAATAAACAAAGGAAATAATAAAGGGGGGACGAATTTAATGGGATCGGAATCTATGCCATCGTATTTGGATTTTCAAAAACAACAACACGATTCTTCGGAACCCTTTACAAAAACTATACTAATAACAAAACTTGAAAAATATATTGATCATAGAGTTACGGCCACTTTATTGGCACAAAAATGCATTCCGAATGATCGTAGCATACCCATGTGTCGTTCTTATGAGAATCCTATCAGACAATCACCCGAAGGTTTGTTAAACGTTAGAATGGAAAAAGAAAGGTCAAATAACTTTGACATTAAGCCGACAATAATTAAACAATGATTTTATTGGAAACTAGGAAATTATTTTATTTTTGGAAAATTTTAAAAGGAAACAAAAAAACCGGACAAGAAAATTACGTTAAAATAAAATTTTTATTTGTGTGAAAATATTTAAAAAAAATAAAATTAAAATAAAATTATTTATTCAAAATCTGATCTCGTTTGATTTTTTTCTTCTTCTTCAAATGATTCTTCTTGTTCTTCTTCTTCTTCTTCTTGTTTTTCTTGTCCTTCATCTTCTAATTCTTCGATTTTAGATGGCGTTATTAAGATGGGATCGATTGTGGATATGAATTTTAACGGTGCCATAATAACAATACTTTTTTCTTGTTCCTTTACCGTTTGTTCCGGTCTCGGACATTCTGGTAAATTAAATGGCAATAAGCTCGGACGACATCCTTTTATGTGAAAAGAAACGACCGTTTGAGGGTCTTCGACTTTAGTTGTAACATATTTTGTTTTCGTTTCCGTATATGTTACATTTCGTGTGTAAAATGGATTAAATAAATTCCAATTCCAATATGGCGAATGATGAGTTTTGATTTTCGGTGGTGTTGTTTTCAACGGGGGCGTTGGTAATTTTGAAAATGTTTCGCTGGGTTGTGTTACCGGTTTCCGATTATCAGGTGCCTGATCACGATTTATTTGCGGAATTTGTGTTTTTGTAATTCTTTAAAAGACAAAAAATTAACAAATGAGAATTTTATTTAAAAAAAAAAAAAAAATTTTTTGGTTTTGTTAGGTAAAAAAATAAGTTAAAACGATTACCTGGTTGGTACCGATGGATATATTTCGAGATTTCTCACGTGTCTGCACGGTTGTAAAGTTTCTTCAATTACGAAACACGACGAGGGTATAAATTCGGTTACAAATTCAGAAATTTGCCTGTACGAAACGACCGTTTCCCGTTTCGGTCCGAAAAAAAATTTCGGCTCACGATTTTCTTCATTGCAATTAGTGTATATAAATAATAAAGAAAACACAAATAAATTTTTCATTTTCGAAATCCAAACAAATACTGGTACCGAGTTTTTTATCCAGCATCCCCTTGTTGGGGTATCTTTAATTTGGGTTTAAATTCAAATCGTAATATGTCTCAATTTTCGTTTTTAAAAAAAAAAAATATATATTTATTATTAATAAAAAAAAAAAAATTAACATTCGACGAGTACAGGTTAAATATAAAAAAATAATCGTTTGAACTTTGACCTTTTTTTATTTTCAAGTAATTTAATTAATTTAATTTTTTTTTTAAATTTGTAATAAATTCATAAAAAATTTTTAACTTTTATAAATCGACATAATTCGTTTTAAAAATAAATCTAAAATTTTCATTTTATTTCAAGTTGAATGTAAAATGGTAGAATATTAGTCTCAGTCGTTGTAATAGTCAAGAGATAAAAAAAAGCAGACGGTAACAAATTAATTCTCAAACTTTTATCTTTTTCATAAAAAATTTTTTCTCCAGGTATACAATTAACCCTTTTATCCCATCATAAACCTGAAATAACGACTGAACAAAATCTTTTTTTTTTTTTTTTTTTAATGAGAGTTTGAGTAAAGAAAGAAAAAAAAAACTTTTTTTTTTTTTAAAAAAATAAATAATTTTATTTATATATTTAAAAAATAATTATTTTTTATCATTGATTGATTATTTATTATTATTATTATTATTAATTACACGTCGAATTTTTCGTCGACTATGACGTAACCCTTTTCCTCGTATTCTTTTCTGCTCACTAACATATCATTAAAATTTTCTGAATTTGCTAACATTGCTCCACCCCTCCAACAATATTGTATCGGGCTAAAAATTAATAAAAAAAATATATAAATAAATAAATAATTTTTTTTTTATTAAGTTTGTTTAATTAAAATTTTTTTTTTTTTTTTATTACTTTTCAGGCAATGTTACTTTAACGTCGAAATGATCTGGAGTCAAACATCGTATTTCATTTTCTACTCTTTCTTTAAAACCTGGAAAAAGCGTGGATCCTCCGGTTAAAATAATATTTGAAAATAAATGAGGCCAAGTTTCTTCCGGACACGATAGAATACTGTTTAGTATTGCTTCTGGAATTCCCATTTGATTAATTCCTATATCGCTGGGATGAAATAATGTTTCAGGTACTGAAAATCTTTCATTATTTAACCTTAAACATTGCTGAAAATTTATCATCGTTTAATTATTTACGTGAATGTATAAACATTGTAAAGATATCAAACTCGTACTAACATGATCTTCTCCTTTTTCTCCTGGCTGACAAAGGTATCCTCTTCTGATTGTAGTATAATCGGGTAAAACATATTCTCTCATTATTTTATTTTCCTGCCCTTTTTTCCTAGCTAATTCCATATCTTTCATAAACGACTGTGATACAAAACATGAATCTTCTTTAACTTGATTAATTACATAGGTTTCATCCATTACATGAAGTTGCCTGAAATAATTATTAAAAAAAAAAAAAAATTGAATTATATGAATATTTTATATAGAGTAAAACATACACTATACATAATAATAATTAACCTGTACGATATGATATCTTTTAAATGATTGGTTAAAAGTTTTCCACCGACATCGATTCTCCTAATTGCACTAGTTAATTTTTTATTCTTTATGTAAGGTGCAATGTGTGTGAAACTATACCCAGAATCGACAACTAAACAACACAAACTTTCCGGATTATTTATACTGTAATGAAAATTACTTAAACTCGCACCTGAAAAAAAAAAAAAAAAACATTTTTTTCCATTTATATTTAAAGAAAAAATCACATTTTTGACAAATGATTAATCTTACTGTTTATTCTTAAAAGTCCTGCACAAGCGAATTCTTCGAAGAAAATTTCAGTCATGGCCTCTTGAATGGAGGGAAAATTAAAAAATGGTTCAGTCACGATAACATTCATTTCAGATAAATTATAATCGCAACATTCTTTACTAAACATGTAATCCCATACATTTTTTTGAACATCCCAATTAACTAAATAACCCTGAAATAAAAATTTTATTATTATTTATAATTAAAAAAAAAAAAAAATTTAGAATAAGTTTTTTTTTTTTTTTTTTTTTTTTTTTTTACGTTTGTAAAAGTAATTTAATTAATTTGAATACTTTTTGAAAAGGTAAAATGTAAAATAAACCAGATGCATCTCTGCAGTCTTCAATTTGATCACCAACAAATGGACGCCTTCTTTCACTTTTGGCTTTCATAATACAATTAGGAATGACTCTGTAAGTAAATTTATTTAATTAGTAATTAGAAAATAATAATAATTAAATAATTTTCTACTCGTAATTTAAAATAACTAACTAAACAAACACTTACTTGGGTTCATTTTGTGTACTTAACCCTATTTTAGCGTAGCATGCTCCATTATCCAAAACTACCGTACTTAAATTCATTGTTTTATGTTATTTATAAATATGTTGAAAATAATTTAATTAAAATTGTACACGGACAAAGCGAGTTTGTCATATTTTAAACGGAAAACGACATTTAACATAATAATATTTATATTACAAAGTAAATAACGATTTGGTTTTATGCGGCATCTAAATATTGAAAGAATAATTCACATCACTTTGACAAAAACAATTTTCACGTTTAAATAAATAAAAATAATTAATAAAGGACGCGATTAAAATAATTTTATTAAACACCGTAATTTGTAATTAATAAATTATTAAATTATTACGTTAAAAAAATTTAATTTATAAATATTTTTTCAAAAAAGTTGAGTGAGCTTTTTTATTGTGAATATAGCTTAACTAAAAAACTGATATCAAAATGGCGGAAACTTTTTAAAATTATTTAAATTACCGATGTTAATGTTTTTTTTTTTTTTTTTTTTTGATTCGAACGAAAAAAAATCATTAAGTGAAAAAATAAGGTTTAAAAATCAAAATTTGGTTTTAAATATTAAAAAAAATTTTAACGTAAATAATTATTGGAAGTGAAATAAAAAGGGTATTTTACGTTTTTCAAAAACACTTTTTGGCGCGCATGCCAATTGCAAAATGTCAAAAAGAAAAAAAAAAAAAAAAAAAAAAAATTGGGGCAATTTTTAGTGTTCGTTTTGTGCAAAAGTAATGTGTCAAAAAAAAAAAAAATTGTGACATTTTAAAATAAAAAATTATGTTAAACGTTTTAACAAAATGAAAGCAATCGATTGATTATAAAAATAAAATGTAGTGTTGTAATTAAAAACGTCGTTACATCTAAAAAAGTAATAAAAAAAAAAAAAGGCGAAATAAAATCAAATTATTTTATTGTACGTGTATTATTATTATTATTATTATTATTTAACGTGATTCAATGTCAACTTTAACTGATCGAAGTATATGGTCTCTCGAAGAAGGAGACTCATTGGAAAATGTCGACAAGGAAATAAAATTGGTGAGCACGAGCTCAGATTCATATTCGATAGGAAACAAAGAAAATAAAACGGAATCATCCAAGGATTTCGATGGACAATATTCTTCGAACGTAATGTTATTAGATAAAGAAAAAATTACAAAATTAAATACGAAATTTCATTATTCGTGCGACAATTTAAATACTCAATTAAAAGAAAATGGCGTTGATAAAGACGTTAAAGAAATTGGAAATAATGGCATTTGTCGTTCTTCCACTCATTTAGATTTAAATGTCAAACGCAATGCTACGAATAAATTAGACAAATACGATCACGTACAAAGTAAAGTAAAACAAAAATATTTAATGAATAAAAATCAAGGGCCTAAAAAAAAAAACATTATATGTAATTTACCCGAAACTAAAAGTAGTGACGTCAATAATAAAGAATATTTAGAAGAGATAAATAGGCAATTGATAAAAGAATTAGAAGAAAAAAATGCAATTTTATCAATACTCCAAGACAATTACGAACATTTATTATTTAAATATGCGGAAGCACAGAACAGAATCGACGAACTACGATTTAAATGTGTCACGGAAAATCGAGAATGTAAAAACTCGTCGCAAAAATCAAACAAATACGAAAAAGGTCAAACCCCCCCCAATCAATGCATGCACGCAAGTGAAAACATAAACAAATCAATCGTCGATAAAAGTCAAAGGAATTTAATTAATCCGATAATAAAAGTTGACGAACCTTACACTCAAGGAGCAAGTAGCAACGCAGGCGTACCTGTACCGAGCAGACCAATATCCTTACCTTTAGAAGATTTAAATAAATTAAACGATAAAGATTTGATGTTGACGACGAAAGCAACGACACCGACGGATTCGGAAGGTTTAAGCAGTGTTATAACAAGCATGAGTGGACACAGTAAATTATTGAATTCTTTGGACGAAGAAACGCATAAAAAATCAAATTTGTTAGAATTTCCCAATAGTGATTTCATGTTGGGAGAAAAAACAATGTTGGCTAATGATCCTTTTGACAAAGTTAAAAATTGGCAAAATTCACTACCACCTTTAGAACAAATAGAAACACCGGAAACGGCTTTATATAACGTGAACCAAAGTAAAGGCTCCGAAGAATATAGTTCGAACGGTACGAAATATAGCGAAATGATAACGTCACCGAAAAACGATAACGAATATATATATTTGGAAGACTCGTGTCCGCCCAGTTGGAGAGACGAACACGTTAATTATCAAACAAATTCCGTCGGGAGACAAAACAACAGCATTAATTGTTACGATGGTGAAATATCAGACGGTGTTGTGGAATATCGAAAAAAATACGTTGATGGATTCGACGATGTAAAACCGTTAAAAAACGACTTGCCATCAAGTTGCATAGTAAAAAAACGTGACAAACCGATGCTCCTCAGATGTTCCTCTCTTCCCGCATACGATTACGACAGTTTTAAATCCGAAAACAGCAAAAACGGTTTTCACATTCCACCGTTAGATTTAACAAATATCACGCTGTCGGACGAAGAATCATATTGCCAAAAACTTTCTTGCGAGTCTAAAAGCAATAATCCGTCGTATAGCAATACAATCGAACGATCCCAACGAACATCTCAGACGTCGACACCTTGCGTCAACAAAACGACAAAAGATGACGATGAAAATCATTCTGTGAAAGGTCTTAGACAAACGGTAAACAAAAGCACGTCTATAACTCCGGATAAACACGCGGATTTGGATTCGTTTTATCCAACGAAATTAAAATCGACGAGTTCGACGACGAGACAGAACAACAATTCAAATTCTTGCATACAAAAATGCACGGATTGCCGAAGGGAAAAAATACAAAATTGGTGCACGATATGCGGGGAAACAATGGCGGAAAAAGAAAACGATCACTCGTCAAAAACTAAATCCATACGTTCGTGCGATTGTGCCATAAATACAAAAAACACTAATTTTAAAAAACAAAATCCGTTTCAAAAGACGCGGATTAATAATAAACCTCCGCCATTTAAAAGATCAATGTCGTTTAATTCGGACACGAACGCGACGAGTAAATATCGTACTCACGATGACCTCATACCACCTTTCGAAGAAGAAAATTTTAATAATTTCGAAGAGTATACGAGAAATTTAAAAGCGAGATCACAAGTCGTAATAAATGCATTATCGGCCCACATAAAAAATTCCTAATTTACTACTAATATTATTATTATTAATGACAAATTACTCATAATTATTCATTCTCATTATAGACGGGTAGTAGCATAAGTGTTTAGGGTACTTATTTATAATCATTATCATTATTAATTTACGCGTGGATTCGTGTTAGGTTATATATATATATATATATATATATATATATATATATATATATATATATTTTACTTATTAAAAAAAATAATTCATTTATAAAATTTTAACAAAAAAAAAATAATCAATGATGGTTGTGTCGGTATCGACATACACACACACGCGGGCGCGAAATAAAAATAATAATAATAATAATTTTCTTTTCCATAAACGTTCGTTTTATTACGTTTGTCATAATAATAAAAGTTACTCTTCTCTATAAGTACGGTAGTCTTATATTATGAGGACAATACACACAAAAAATTTATTTTTCTATTGTTTTTTTTTTTTAAATTGTTATTTTATATGTACTTTAAATTTAAAAACCGTGACCGTGTCAGTTATAGCAGTCGCACGGATTGCATGGTGGCTCAATAAGAAATCCACTAGCACTATCGACTAGTGACACGTTACTAGGCTCCGGAGTGAATATTCCAGAATATGAATTTTTAAGAAAGTTGACGTGCGATTGCAAACTTTTTATTCTTAATTGAGCTTGTTCGAAATTATCATTGAGATTATTTATTTGCGATTGCATCTTTTGCCGAATCTGAAAAAAAAAAAAAAAAAAATTTGAATTTTTTTAATGGAGACGATATTTGGAAAATTTTAAATTATTATTAATTTTTACAACCTCGTCTTTATCTTTTTGTGCCGTTCTCGCGGTTGCTCTCGCTTGAGCCAATTGCCTTTCCAAATCAGCTATTTGAGTTTGCAATGATCTTTTAACTGTTTCGTTTCTATCTTTACATCTGGCAACTTGTCGAGCGGATTCTTCTCTAAGAGTTTCCAACTGATTGGAAAATTGTGCGACTTCGTGTAATTTTTCATCTAATCTTTTCTCATTTTGTGCAGAAGCTTCTTCCAATCGTGCAATACTCGTCCTGCAAATATGAAATTTTACAATTAAAAAATTTTCTTCAACTTTTTTTTAAAAATATTTTTTTAGTATTTTTTGTAACGGACTTGAGTTTAGCATTTTCATCTCTTAATTCGTTGCATTTTTTTTCCCACGATTCGAGTCTTGCTGCCATTTGACTCCTTTCATCCATTCCCAATTGTTGACTGCTTCTATCCGATTCGAGTCGTCTTAATAAATTATTAGCCTGAAATAATAAAAGAAATCGGTTAAAGGATACAACCTTACTTTCCTTGCAAAAATAATATTGTCAAACATACTCTTTCTTTGGCTTCTTGTAATTCACGTTGTAAATCTTCAACGTTTCTTTCTGAAATCATTCTCAATTGTTGAGCTTCTTGTAATTTCAATTGTGTTTCTTTCAATATGTCTGGTAAAGGTGAAAGTTCGGAAAGCTTTTCTTGGAAAACTTGCTGTTCGTAAAAACAAAAAAAAAAAAATCATTAATTCATTAGTTTTTTTTTTTTTATTTCTACTTTTGTAAAAATGTTAACAAACGCACTTTTATTCTTTGAATCTCTGCATTTTGTTCTTCTCTAACTCTTTGATTTTCCAATTCCATGTGATCTATTTGTCTTATTTGCTCTTCAACTTGTTGCTGCGCTTGTAAATACTAAAAAAAAAAAAAATAATTTTATTAACTTTCGATAGGATAATTTTTGTAAAAATAAATAATAATAATAATAACTTTATTTCTATAATCGTCTAATTGAGCACTTTGATCATCCAATTGATTTTTCAATTCGTCAATTTCATCTTGTGCTTCTCTATATCTTAATTTAATTACGCTCATTTGTTGTTCTTGTTCGAACAATTGTTCTTTCGATCCCAACATCTACAAAATTTTTTAAAATCAAATTATAACGATTTACTATCAATAAAAAACGGGGGGCGTGGGGATTTTTCGGGGATCGTATTCGAACCTTTGTTTTTTCTCCTTCCAATTGTTTTAATCTTTTTTCAAGGGATTTACACTGAGCCTCGCAAAAATCCCTTTCTTCTCTCGCCTTGTCCGTTATTTCCATCAATTTATCATTTTGAGCTCTCAGCGACGCAACTTCCAACATTTTATTATTAAAATCCTGTTGAAGTCTGTCATATTGTTCTTTTAATTCTCTCACTTGGAGTTCGGTATTTGAATCTCTCGGTGGTAACGGATTAAGTAATCCTCCGTGATTTCCCTTTAAGTAATTTTTTATTATTCAATTTTTTTTTTCTTTATTTTTTTTTTTTTTTTTGTTTTTTTTTTTTTTGATCCCCTTACCATTCCTCTTCTTTGCACGTTCGCGGTTATTTTCACCATTTTCCTATGATTTTCCAATTCTTGTCTTTCCTTTTGCACGGCGCATAATTCTTGTTGAATACGTTTTACTTCGCATTCGAGTGAATTGACAGCATTTTCCTTTGTAAACAATACCACAGAAAAAGAAATTATTGATTTTGTTTAAAAAAAAAAAATCCACAAAATCCACAAAAATTTTGTCATTTACCAAAGTGTGAGTGGTTTCTTTATATTCTTGAAGTTTCATATCGACAATATCGGTGGTCGTGGGTGGCGTAAGAGGACGAAAATTAGATTTTCCCGTATTTTTCTCATCGAAATTTGATGTTGTTGTGGTGGTAGTATTAGTCGTTCCCTGTCCCCCCGTTAATTTATCATTGAGTTGAGCATTTTCTCTAGCGATAAGTCTCATTTCAGCTTGAAGATTTGCCACTTTTCTTTGTAATAGCTCGACTGCATTTTCTTTCGTAATAAGCTCTTCCTGCAATTGGTATCTAAAAATACAAAAAAAAAAAAAAAAAAAAAAGTCTTTCATTCATAAAAAAAATATTAATTAAAAAGGAAAAATATACGTCACGACATTTTGTATTTAACCTACAATACGTGTGTTTACAAATCGGATTTATTAACGCGGAAATAAATAATTTAAATAATTAATTAAAAATAATATCAATGATGAGTGAAAAATTTGGAAAAATTTTTTTTTTTTTTATTATTTATACTCACCCGTTTTCACACATTTTTATTTTTTAATTTTTTTCAATTTTTTATTGTTTTTAATTTTTACTTAAAAATAAAAATATAAATACAAACAAAATTAAATAATAATAATATTAACATATAGAAAAATGAGTCTGCTGCGATATTCATTTTTAAATAGCAGAAGACTTTTTTTTTTTTTTCATAAAAAGTTCACAAAAAAAAAAAAAAAAAATTACGTGACAAATTTTATTACCCTAACGTTTTTTTATCAATTGAAATAATTAGTTTAAAAAAAAAAAAACAAAATGTCGTTTCGTTCGTTTTTTAAGGTAGATTTCTGAACGTACCTTAATCCTTCCAAATCCGCATTTTCTGCCGCCAATTTTTCTTGCATCGAATAACTTTCGCTCAATCTTCCGGTTAACGATAACATGACTTCCTGTAGAAAGATCAATCGTTTAAAAACAAAGTAAAAATCATTTAAAGACTTTGTGTTATTGCGTGAAAAGCTTACGGGAACACTTTTCGCATCGGATTCGGGAACGCTCGGGAGACTCGGGGATTGAGTTTTGAGTCCAGAAAAACTTTCGATAGAATTTAACGGTTGCATAATCGAATTCGGTTTAGTATCGTGTGAAATTATTTTTTGCATTTTAAAATCCAAAGAATCCGTCACGCTTTGGGATCCGTTACATAAAACATCTCCTTCACCGAGTGATCCACTTTTTAAATCCCCTCCTTTATCGTTATCTAAAAATGCTTTAATTGATTTTTCCAATTTGATGAGAGTCGGTTTCGATAATGGCGTTTCCGTTTCGTCAGCCGTTTCCATATCCGAATCATCAAAATCCGCCGTCATTTCATCCGCGAGTTTTTTCAAATCGTTTTTTAATTTCGTTCTCACCGTTTCCGGTTTATTTAAATTATCGCTATCGAAACTTTCTAAACTTTCGTTGATGTCTTCGAGCGGGTCATTATTATTTATATTGTTATTATTATTATTATTATTAATTATTAATTTCGATTGAGTGTCGCTATCGCAAGACCTTGAACTCGATGCCTGATTGACAGGTTCATCATCAAATTTTTCCGTATTATCAGTTTTAGATGAATTGTCCTCCATTAAAGGTTCGTCGTAAAATTTTTCCACATCCGTTTGTCTCCCTTCTTCGGGTAAATTATTATTATCATTATTATGTTCAGTTAGGATTCTGCAATTGTCAATGTCTTCGCGTTGTGTTAAATCGGGTAAATTTTTTGCATCACCTCCGGCTTTTAAATCTTCTTCTACTAAACAAAAAAAAAAAATTTGAAATTTGAAATTTAAAGTTGAAAAAAAAAAAAATTAAAAGAAGGGATGAATCCACTCACCCTCAGTCTTCCCATTTTTTTCCAATTCTTCCCATTTTTTTTTAAACGATTTATCAGCTAATCCGACCAAATGTTTAACTCTTCTCGTTATTTTTTCCAATTGTTGTAAATTTTGCGATAATTTTTGTTGATTTTTTTTCAATTCTTGATTTTCTTCTTCGGTCATGGTATCCTTCTAAAAAAAAAAAGGAAAAAAAAAACGAAAACGTTGTTTCTCGGTCGTTGAAAGAAGAGGAAGGAAAATTTTTTTTTTTGTTACCTTTTGATAAGCAGCTATGGCTTCTCTTATTTGTTCAATCATTTTAACAGTTCTTGTTGCTTTTTGATCGGCTAATTTTAATTCTTGTGAAACTTGAGAATCCGTTAGGGAAACGGATTTATCAGATTCCATTTCAATTTCTCTTTCTTCACTACTCGAAGATGAATATTTTGATTTTCTAGAACGTTTCGTCATTGAATTTTTCGTTGCGTCACCTTGTTCGGAATGTGAAAACATTTTTGGACTTTTTAATGTTTTGATACTTCTATCTGATGATTCCAATGAAACCAAAAAAAAAATCCTATTTTAAACAGGTTCCTTTAAACATTCATTCATTTATAGATTTAAATAAAATCGAACCTGATTTTTTATCTTTAGATTTTTTATAATTTTTTTCACAACCGGATTCATCTTCGGACGATAGACTTTTATCATCGGATGAATAAAATCTATGTTCGAAAGATGTTTCGAGGGGAGCATCATCTTCTTCATCGTTGTTTATCAAACCATCGTTTGACGATTGTTTTTTTCCCGATATTTTATTATTCGTTCTGGAAAAGGTTTCGGAATTTTTATATTTTTTTTGACCGCGAATATCGGTATCGGTATCGGTATCGTCACTTCCCGTCTTCTGATCCAAATTAAGTTTCGGAATGAATACATTCTAGAATGAATAAAAGAATATATGTGATGCTGATGATATACGTTTAAAATCATTTTCCAAAAAACTTTTTTCATTCATTTTAATTCATTTTTCCACCTGATTATTAATTTCAAATTTATTATTATTATTATATATTTGCGATGATAATTTTTGTTCGAAAAGTTTTCTCTCGCTTAAATCAATTCGAAATTGTTCGAAATCGTTTTTCACATCGAGATCGGATAAATGAAAAGGTTTTAATACTTCGAAACAGGATTTTAACGGATCGTAAATTTGTGGGAGAGTTCCATTATCCGCATATTTTTTTATCGTTTCAATTGTTTCGCTAAATTCTTTCGAAGCACTTTCTTTATCATATTTTTTCCCTTTATCAGAATCTGGAAAACTTTCTTTTCCTCTAGAACCAGTTTTTCTTTTCTAAAAAAAAAAAATAATCAAATGTAAATTATTTTACGATAAAATATAAAAAAATAAAATTTAAAAAATTTAAATAATTCTACTAGCTAAAAGCACCTACTCGATTATTATTATTAATATTTAAAATTATAATTTAATAACACTAACTGGAAAAAAAATGTTATGTTAATAAAAAAAAAAATTTTTAATTAAATTAACTAACTCAATAACTTGCCTTCATCATAATAAAAGATACGCTCGAAAAACTATAAATATATATATATATATAAAAAAGTAATTAATAAAATTCTAAATTATTTATATAAGAGTCTTAAAATAAAAAAAGATCTATAAAATAACAAGGAACCATTTTTATTACTGTTGACAAATGATTAATTAATATTTTACACGTTCAAGACGGCTTCTAAAAATCGAATTTTTTTTATATTAACAAGTTAATAACAATTACAATCATTTTTATTTTAATAAAAATTTTTTAATAAATTACCCCACGCAGGTTCAACAAAATGGTATAAGGTATTCGATATTAAAAAAAAACCTGTCACTAATTAATTAAAGTTTAGGTATCCCCACATTTTATTCATTGAAAAAAAAAAAAAAAAAAAAAAAAAAAAACATAATATGTTATTTTGTATAATTTTACAAAAAGAAACATGATAATAATAATATTTACTTGTAATAAATTTTACTTGATTGTATTGGAAGAAGCATATTTCTACATAACAAATTTTAATAAGTATATATGTATGTTTATATGTATACATAAATATATATATATATATATTTAAAAATATATTTTACAAAGTGTACATTATAATTAAATAATCTATATAAGCTAATGTAAAAATATTTAAAAAAAATAATAATAAAATTATAATTAATAATTTGGTTATTTAATATCACAAATATTTTTTTTCTCTTTTCGGTTTTTTTTTCTCTCTCTCTCTCGGTTTTTTTTACTTAGATGTATTACTATTATCATTTTTTACAAAATGGAGATTATTTGTAAGTTTATTAAATCCTAATAAAACAGGACAATGTAATAATAATGAATATGAATTTTTATCAATTTCCCTCGATATTTCCAACCACATTCTCAACCAGAATAATAATTCATCATTGTTCATGTTGATAGGATTTAATCCTCTGAAAAAACAATGCCATCTCATATCGTGTAAATTTAATATTTCAGGTCCTCCCTCTTTGATTATAGCAAGATCCATTAATTTAACTAAATTGGCTCTCATGTATAATCTTTCTCTTCTTCTCCATCCCTTGTGCATGTTATATAAATTTAATAATTTGCTCTGGAAATTTTTAAAATGAAAGATTGTCACATTTATTTATTTAAATAAATAAATTGCAAATATTATTATTATTTTAATTACAATGTGATAAGATTCCATATGGTTGAGACCGAATGGGACTCCTTTAAAAAGTGATTTGACCGAAAGAATCGATTTGGCATTAGGATGAACATTGCTTTTAATATTTTCTAACAGATTGCACATTTTTAAACATAAATCTGTGTCCTGTTAATGAGAAAAAATAATTTTTTTAAAACTTTATTGGTATTATATTATAATAAAAGTTTTTAAAAACATACTTTAATGACACTTAGTCTACTTTCTAAACAATTGTAAACTGGGGTATAAGACGAAATTGTTTTTTTATGTTTCAGAGATGAGAATTCGTTTTGTTGTTGCTGCGACCAAAAATGATGAGTTAGTAAATGTTTTGGAAAATAATAACTGAAATTTGCAAGGAGAAAAAAAGGTAAGTGGAAAAATAAAATATAAAACAAAGTAAAATTATTTATAGATGATTGTCTCACCCTAAAATAAATATAATACCACCAAAAGGAACGACAGCTCCTATAAAAATCACAGGAGCTGTTCTTAATATATCTTTAGGTAATTCATAATAAACTTCTAATTCTTTTCTCGTCAACGAATTTAAACCGCACGATGTTATTTTTTTAAACGCTCTGAACAATGTAATAAAATCACTTTTTAAAAATTTTAATCCCACTGAAAAATCTTGATAAATTTTAACAGCGGTCGGAAACATTTTTCTCAATCTTACTTCGTAAGATTTTAAAAAATGCGGTTTATTTATACCAAGAGACATCAATTTATTTTTTGAATTTGTTTGAATATTTCTACAAACTCTAAATAAAAAAAAATCATTTTAATTAATTGTTACGATCGTACTTTCGTATGTTGAAAATCTTTAAGGATACATAAATAGAAAATTTTTATTATTATCATTAATATGACTTACGTAGAATTCAATAAAATTATTTTTTGTTTATTTTTATTACCGAAAAATAATACGCGGCAAAACATTGACATTATAAAATATTAAATTGTTAAACATTCTAAAAAATTTAATTTTTTCTTTTTTTTTTTTTTTTACTTCTTTTTCGTTAAATTTGTTTATTTAATTTTCGACACCGGACTAATTAGTACCGAATTGTTGCGACAAATTAAAAATGGCGACATTTTTATTTCAAAAAAATTAAACGTCCAATTCAGGAAATAATATTTAACTTCCCCTCTCCCTCCCCAAAAAAAAGTACAAATTATGGAAAGGATTAAAACAAATTTTAATAATTTAAAAATTATTTATAATAGTTTTAAAAATATTTACATTATTTATTAATGTATTATTATCATTATTATTATTCGTTTGATTTCAATGGAATAAAAGAAGGAAGTTTATCTAATTTTATTTTTTTCGGTACGCATTCCGTTGTTTCAATTTGACACGAATCAATATTATTATTATTATTATTAGTCGAAGATGGTCTTTTCCTTTTGCATTTTTTTTTCTTTTTTTCCCCAACGTTTAATTTCGATTGTTTTTCTTTTTTCTCATTTGGAACCAATTCAAATTTTCTCGTGTAGTATTGTAATTTTTCTTCTGATGAATTTTCCGAAATTTTCATATCCTTGTTGGCGTCTTTGAGTTTGTGCGGATAAGGACATTTCGAACCCGAATCGCATTTTCCATATTTATCATATTTGGGACATAAAAACAAATGCCTTTTGGTGCACTGAAAAAAAAAAAAAAAAAATTTTAACGAATAGTATGTCATGTGTAATGATGAGAAATCTTTTCGAGTACTCACACTTTGTCCCAAATCACAAAAACCGTGGAGAAATTTGTCACATATATCAGCATTACTGTTTAATTTAACATGAAGAAATGGACATTTATCTCTATTACAATTACCATTTAAGAAAAAAAGACAAGTGGCCATTTTTTCTTGAACAACTTCGTGAGATAGAAGACAGTTTTTATTCGTACAATTTCCTTTTAGAAATCTGTATATTAGAGAAGGGGGAAAAAACAGATATGTTAATTATTAGTGGTGTTACACAAATTACAAAAAGCACACACATTTCACTTCCTTACTTTCTGCATATAGCAATATTTTTCGGATCATGTTTATAAATACACAATTTTTGATTATGTCTATTGCATTTTCCAAATTTGCAGTAAATTGCACATGGCAGAGCAGATTTTTTCTTCAATTGGCAAAGGGTAGCTATACTTTTATTTTTGGCATAATTTACAATATGTCTGGCTCTGTGAATGTTTGTTTTTATTAAAACATTTTTAGATTTTTGCAAATAAGTGACTCCTCCGATATCCACTCTTTTAAAATTAATTGATTTTTTATTTTCCCCTTCGTTCCTCATCTGTCTGACAAGAGTTTTTCCATTTTTATCGAGTAAAAATTTTTCCCCTCTAACATAAACAATATGGTGATTTTTTTTGACTGCAATAGAAAAAAAAAGGTTATTATTATTATTATAAGGAATACCATAAAGAATATTGTTTTTTAATATTAATAGCTCGACTTACTTTTCTTATCGATTAATTTTTCATTTTTCTTTAGCACTTTAGGTTTTTTATTATTATCTTTGGCTAATATTAATTTATTCGAAGTTGATTTATATAATATTCCACCAATTTTAACAATTTTTTTATTAGAACATTGCTCAGATTTTCTTAAAATAATTCTTTTTGGCACTTGGGGTTTTCTGTAAATAAATACAGTTTTAAATTTGATGCAATATTAAAAAGTAAAATAATCTTTGGAAGCTTACCTGTAAGAAAGTAAATTTTTTTGTAGGGAGTAGGGTCCTCTTATGTACAATTTACGATTAAGAGTAAAAAATTTTGTTTTACGAGACGAAGGAAACAGTTTGCTTATTTCAGTTGTCTTATGTAATTTAGGGTTAATATTTTCATCTTTTTTAATTCTTTTATCTAATTTATAATTGGACACTTTTAAATTATTAACTTTTCTAGAATACTTGTATTTATTTTTTATCGAACTTGCCACCTTCATGATTAATTTATTTTTGTTAAAATCATATTTGAATTGATTTCCTAATACTTTTGATGATGATAAATTATTTGACGGTTTGTAAATCACTTTAGGCTTGCTAATTGAAGAAGTGTTGTTAACTTTTTTCAAATTTAAATTAATAATTTTCGTTTTAGACACAAATCTCGGATTAGATTTATTACTTATAATTTTGTCGTTAGAATTATATATTTTAACATTATTATTAGGAGCAAAAAAACTATAGTGGGTTTTTTTGTATTCATTAATTTTCTTACTGGGATAATAAATGTTGTTTTTATTAAATCCCTTATTAGTGATATGAGATACCATACTAGGATAATAATTTTTTTCAGGGGTCTTTTGTATGCGAGGAGGTTGACTTGAAGCATTTGTAATTTTTGATCCTCCATTAATTACTTTGTACTTTGATGTACATTTATTAAATTTGGTTTTACACAAATCACTAAAAGGTTCATTTTTAACATTATTATTTATAACTTTTGTACTTGATCGAGATACTTGAGGAATTTGATTATTCGTTTTCAAGGTCGTAGACTCCTTCAATTTCCCTCTTTCATTTTCGATTTCTTTTTTTTTAAAATTTGGATTAAAATGAATTTTATTAGATTTAGATAAATCATTTTTTTCAAGTGAGTTTTTAAGAACTTGAAAATTAATTATGTTTGGATTTATGTAAGCTTTTGTTTTAATCTTAGGTTTCCTTATATCTTTCACAGAACCAAAACACGACATGTTATCAATTTTAGTAAAACTTTGAGCACGATTTTCATTTTTACCGCTAAGCGTAGAATAAAAATACATGTTCTTTTCTTTTAGGGTAGTCTAAATACATTAAAAACACAGCATCACAAATAAAAAAAAAATAACATCGTTATTAAATAAACTTGACACTGTACGTCATCTCAAAAGTGATAAATAAGTTGTTATGTTGTTGGCTGTGCGAAATTCGGTTAAAACTTACGGTTGGTAATAGAACGTTTCATAACGGAAATTTTGATTTTAAAATAATAGACATTACAAACCAAAACATATTTTTAAGGTTAAATCTTACATTTGATTTTTTTCTATAATTTGAGTTTAAAATATCATTATTTTTCGGTTATTAATGAGGCATAATACACAAATCGTTTGAGTAAATATAAAATTGTAATTTTTTATTATAGGAAATGGCTTACAGGTTTAAAAAAAATAATATGGTGGTATATAGTGATTCGGATTCCGATAAAGATGATTACGACGGTAATATAACAGATGATGAAAGTAAATCTGATTCATCTAGTATTTCAACCGATGCAAGTATTTCAGAGGAAAGTAATACCTCTGGAAATAGTAATAACAATTCAAAATCAACTTTGGAATACGTTCTTCCAAATGCTGAAGAATTAAAAACCAAAGTACTAAATGAGGAGAAGCCTAAAAAGGTAGAAGAGTTAAATTTATGTAAGGAAACATTAGTTGAAGATTCTTATAATGGGCAAGATATTTTAGTTTCTGATAGTAGTATATCAATGGATAGTAAAATAATTCTCAACAGTTCTGACAATGAAAGCAGTAACGATTTACAAAAGGTACTGGAATTACAAATCTGACATTTTTGTCTATTTGCAAATATTTAAAAAAAATATTTAAATTATTTTTATGTTTAGGAAAGTGCAGAAGAAAACAACTCTAGTTTAGGTAGAATTGTAGAAGGTATAATTTGCCTTTTTTTTAAATTTGTAGTTGAAATTGATTATTTTTATTATAAGATTTTTTTCTCTTTTATAGAATCTTCTGATTCAGATTCTTCTGTTAAATGTATTGATTTAACAAACAGTGTTTCAGTACTTGAACCTGAAAGTACTAATAATTCTTTGGTAATTATTAACATTCAATTTTTTCACTTACAAAGTTTAAAATTTTGGTACAGCAAATTTAAGTTATTTTTAGGTACAGCAAAATATATCGTCCGATAGATCAGTTTCAAAAATTACATCATTACAAAATGAAGATATTATAGATTCATCAAATGATGTAATTAATCAACAGGATTCAACAAATCAATCTCATATTTCAAATGGTAAAAATTTTTTTTTAACAATATTATTATTATAACAAAAAATATTTAAATCTGAAACAAAGCTGCTTTTTGACAGATTCCCAGTCATCTGTTCAAAGTTTAGATGATTACAAAACATTGAAAAGAGAATTGGAAGACAAAAAAACTTCATATCAAAATATAATGGTAAATCTTTCATATTTGTCTTTTTTATAATCTTTTGTAAAGTTCTATTGCACATTTTTTTTGCATTTTCAGAGAGCCATTAAATATTGCGATCCTAACAAATTAAAAGATGGTGGAAAACTTTTAAAAGAAAAATTGGCTCAATGCAAAGAAGAAGTTGATGTTGGTATATTATTTTTATTTTAAATTTTCTAATTACTTCAAATTACTTACAGTATACAAAATAAATTTTTATAGGAATTAAAAAAAAAATTGAGTACTTATGGAGATGTTTCATCTAATAATAATTCGTTGAAAAAACATTCTCACGAGTTTGATATTTTGTCCACTACAGATCAAATTACCAACAATTTAGGAAAAAAGGGTTAGTTTATTTGTGAAATGTAATTATAATTGAAAATTTGGTATCTATAAATAAATTCAAACCAATTATTGTGTGACACATGTTTATAGGTTTAGAAACTCACAGAGTTCAAGAAGCACTTACTGTTGATGCTCTTGTTACACTTTGTGATTCTATAAAAACATGTCCTACTGAAGATGTACAGGAAAAGGATCCTAATGGTTTAAGAGTAGAATTAATGCCTCATCAAAAACATGCATTAGCATGGCTATTATGGCGTGAAAAGCAAACCCCATCTGGGGGTATTCTCGGTTGGTTTGAATAATTAATTTTTAAATTATATGTCATAGTAAATAAATTTATTTCAAAATAAAAAATTTTTTTAGCTGACGACATGGGACTTGGAAAAACATTAACCATGATAGCTCTTATTTTACGATCAGATGAATATCAAAAATTGAAAAAAGAAAATGAAGTTAATGGATCGTTTGTGGTCAATGATGTTAAAAGTATTTAACCGATATTTTTTTTTATTCTGTAAATTACTGCAATCTGGGGAAAAAAGTCATAAAAATATTAAATTTTTTTTAGTGTATTATGGAAAAACACTTGTTGTGTGTCCTTCTTCTTTAATGGGACAGTGGCAAGGACAAATCAAACAACATTGTCGATCACAGAAATTGAGTTATTTAGTTCATCATGGAAAACCTAGAGAATTGCAAGCCAAAAGATTGGCCGTCTATGATGTTGTCATTACTTCTTATGGAGTTATCGCAGAAGAAAATAAAATCATAAAAGATAATAAAAAGGTAAAAAAAAAAAAAAAAATTTATTTAACATGACACCTAGAATTTTGAGATTTTATTCGTTTTATATCCGGCTATTACGACAGGGAGCTTTATTTCGCGTTGTTTGGAAAAGAATAATTATTGATGAGGGACACGTCATAAGGAATCACAAAACGAAAAAAGCACAAGCACTATGCGAATTAGAAGCAAAACATAGATGGTGTTTAACGGGGACTCCAGTTCATAATAAAGAATTAGATATGTATTCGTTATTAAAATTTCTTCGCTGTTCTCCTTTCGACAACATTAACGTAAGTAAATCACGCCATTAAAGGATTTAAAAAAACTTTTGTGGTTGCATACCTATGTTGCAAATTTTAGTACGAGTAAAAGATTTCAGGTTTGGAAACGATGGGTCGATAATAAAAGTGCTAACGGTGTTAAAAGATTAAACACCGTCGTCAAATCAATTCTTTTAAGGAGAACAAAAGAAGATTTGAAAAATATCGGGGAGCTACGAGAATTACCCGTAAAAAATATAATTCCCATATATATAAAACTCGACGAGGAAGAACAAAAGGTACTCCTCACTCATTTTTATTATTAATACTTATTAAAAAGCACTTACGATTGGTATTTAATTTTAGGTTTATCACACGGTGTTAAATTTTTCGAAATCATTACTTGCGGATTTTATTATGCAAGCTCAAAGGAAAAATGGTTTCGTTAGTGACGAATTGAAAAACCAACATCATAAATTGTTGAGCTCGGCAAACGAAATAAAAACGACAGAGATTTTCGTTTTGCTTCTTAGACTTCGTCAAATATGTTGTCTTCCGGGTTTGATTCATTCGGTAATAAAATTGTTATAAAATTAAGCAAACAAATGCGATAGAATGTGGACATTAAGTATTTTCTTTGTAATTAAAGATGCTGGAAAAAGATAGTTGCGCCGAAGATGGGATAGACATTGAAGATGATCCCATATTGCAAGATTTAACATCGCAAATGAAACGAATGTCGGTCGTATCATCCGGTTACGGAGTAAAAGAAGTAGAAAAAAGGCAAAAAATATTAGTCAAGGGGAATCCAGTATTCGAAATAAATCGTCTGAGTACAAAAGTAAAATTTATAATTATTCCAAATGAAATTTTTTTCCCCTTGTAAATATAAATATATATTCCAGATAAAAACAGTTGTTAAATTGGTCGAGGAAGCATTGGAAGCAGATGACAAAATAATTATCGTTTCACAATGGGCGGGATTATTACAGAAATTGAAGACTCACATCCTCTCATTGAAAACTGGCGTGGTTACCCTCGACGGTTCGGTACCTGTCAAATTTCGTCCGAAAATCATCGATGATTTCAATAATCCGAAAACAGGGATTAAAGTCATGTTACTCTCTCTGACCGCGGGTGGAGTCGGTTTGAATTTAGTCGGAGGTAACAGATTAGTCATTATTGAACCACATTGGAATCCTCAATTGGAATCTCAAGCCTGCGATAGAATCTACAGAGTGGGACAAAAAAAACCCGTTTACGTGTACAAGTAAGGATGATAACACGTGTGTCATTACAAAATGTCCCACTTAATGAAAAAAAAAAATTGTTGGATGAATTTTATTTTTTTTTTAGAATTATATGTCAGGAAACAATAGAAGAAAGGATAGAATTATTGCAGAAAAAAAAATTAGAAGTTGCCGAAACGGTGCTCAAGGGCGAATTGACACTCAATAAAAATAAAATGACTCTCGCGGATTTGAAAATATTATTTGACGTTCATGAAAAATAACAAACGTACCTGTTTTGTATTTTCTTTTAGATGGGGCATTGTAAGTGTTTAAAGGACAGCAAGTGTGTGTACATATAGAGATAGAAAAGGTATAAGTTAAGTAATAACTAGTAGAAAAAAAAATTTAATAAATTCTCAATAGATGATAAAAAATTTAATTATACATAACAAAAAATTTTTATATATAAAAAATACATTGAATAAGTAATAATAATAATAATAACAATAAAAAACTTTTCATATTTTTTTCAAAAATAAATTTTATATATTTTAATACTAATTAATAAATATATTTTTATTTATTATAATGTAAATATAATTGTGGTCCTCTTTTTTTTTAAAAAAAATTTAATTAGTTAATACATAAAAATATTAATATGAGATTGTATAAATTTGAATAATGAATTTTTTTTTTTTTTACTTGCTAAAATATTAAATTGTTTGAGCAAAATATAATTTTTTATAAAAATTATTATTATTATGTATGGGAGGGCATAAATTACTGTAAATTTATAAATTTACAAATTTGGATGTAAATTTTTGTGATGTGAAATAATTTATTTTATAACATCAACTTGGTTAAATGTGGTAATCATAAGGAAAATTCTTATAGAAATTATTATCACAAATAAACTTCAATGGTATTATCAATGTGTCGTCTGCAAATTGGACAATTTTTTCGTTGTGTATTCATAATTGTTAAACTACAATCTAAACACAAGCACAAATGTTTGCAAGGGAATATAACAACATTTTTTGCATTAGATTGACAAACTATACACAATGCATCATCGTTTGTTGTTGTTGTTGTTGTTGTCGAACAATTATCACACCGATTGTCTCTTTTATTTCTATTTTTAAATAATGTATAAAATGTAAAAATTTTCAAACAGAAATCACTAATGAAATTACAAATATTTTTAAATTTTTTACTTATAATTATGGCAAATATTATGCCTATTATAAATGTGATTATAAAATTAATTTCAATGTAGATACCAAAATTTATAAACATTGTAACATAATTAAAAATTTTCACACACACACTCCACACAAAACTTAAAACTGCATTTATGAAATCACATAACGAATAAAAATTTTCTATTGAACTAAATAGAAGGGAGACAATTGAGTTTTTTATACTTGATCGTAAACACTCAAATGGAGACTCTATGCACTGAATTGATACAATAATGTTATTCGAAAAGTAATTGAACATTTTATAAATAGTTTCAAGTAAACTGTAAAAATAAGAACATATAGTCAGTATTATAAAATAGAATATAGAAAAGTAATTGAACATTTTATAAATAGTTTCAAGTAAACTGTAAAAATAAGAACATATAGTCAGTATTATATAATAAAAAATTTTTATCATTTGAATAATGTAAGGTATTTTATCAATTATAGCATTAATAAAAATTATGGCATTTTCGATAATAAAAAAAACCGAATTAAGTGTTTTCAATAATCGAAAAAATATAAAAATAATGTTAATAAAATTTGTAATTAAAATTTCACTCAGGAAATAACTCATTTTAATGAAAAACAAAAGTGGTTCCCAAACAAAAATATACATTATGTAAAATAGTTATTATAATAAAAAGTTTATTAGAAATTTCAAAAAATTTTAAATAAATTTTTAAATTATAATCATATGTATTGTCGTCGTCTGTAATTTACGGTTTAAACAAGTTACCAACCTAAAAAAAAAAAAAAATTAGGCAACCGCCGGCACGCTGTAAAACTTACTAGAAATGTAAAAGTATATGAAGCAAAGTGCCGCCATTTGATAAATTAATAATTTTGCTTATATTATTAGGGGGGTTAACGTTTTTTATATGATAATTTATTTACGCGTTATTAAATTTTTTTGTTCTGTTAATCTAATTTTTTTTTAAAAATGGAAAAAAGCTTTGATATGTGGTCTCCTTATAAAGAACTGCTTGTTACCGTTGAAGCAGTACTTTCAAGACCTGAAGGAAATGTGCCTCCTAAATTCGTTGAACTTCTTAAAAGACACAAGCAAAATTTCATCAATTTATTAAAAAATCCGGTAAAGTTTAATTAAAGTTATTTTGTTTAATTAATTACTGTTTATCAATTTATAATTCTTATAAAATTTTTTGTTTGCAGCCAAAGAATGCTAAAAGTAGAGATGAATTAAAAAAAGGCACTACAGAAGGCATTACACTACCTGATGTCGGTCATCAAATTCTATCAAAAGATCTTGTCGATGAAGCCCTCATACTTTCAGATATGTATAATTTAAATGAAATAATGGCTTTAGATCTTTTATGTATAGCTCAAGCTCAGATGCCATATCATCCAGGGCTAACAAGAGGCTTGGTCGCAGTTATTTTATATTATGATGGAAGGAAAAGCTTAGTCCTCGCATTACATTCCTTAGTTGCTGCCAGAAAAGGCTTTAACTTCTCATCGAATTGTTCAGAGGAAGTATCTGATTTTGTTACTGCTTACACTGATGAATTAATGGAAGATGGATTAATTTCTAAATTGTTAACTTTGGTCGACACTTTGGATCTTTATAAAGAAATTGAATTGTTACAGCAAAATAGAGCTTTAGGTGGCCCGAAACATCATAAACAAGTGATTGATTTATTTAATTCAATCAAACAAAATGTAGCATTTACCATTTTTATATGGTCAGCTCAATGTGGGTTGCCAAAGGATCCAACTTTAAAATTAATTCACTTATTGAAAAGAACTAAAATACAAGAGGAATCTACAGGCGGTATTGATAATGTTACTTTAACTCTAGAAATGGCATTGCTCTATGCACTGGATTTAAGTATTCTGCAAAGACATGAGGATAATGAAGAGATTGTTAAAAAGTATCCCCTTTTAGCTGACAAAACCTTTTGTACTACTTTAATCAGAGAACTAAATAATACTTCTTCTTGGGAGTGCAAAGGTTTGGGAGCTTTAACTAGTTTAGCATGGAGCATAACTCTTTCAATTTTTAAAACTCTTCCACAACATTCAAATGATAATTACGAGGATGAAGAAGCTGCAATTGATGCTGCGATAAAATCTAAAGTTTTTAAATTTTTAAATAGAACATTTTATGAGAATTCATTAATATACCAGGAAGAATTTTTTACCAGAAGACTTCATCAGTTACTAACTGATTTTATCGTTTTAATGCCATCAAAAGTTGCAGAATTAAAAAAAAAAGGAGAAGAATCATCTAGAATGACGCAAATGTATGCGCAACAGGGTTTGGAAGCTCCTTCGGATCTTTCTCATGATTTCGAGGATTTACTTCTTGCAGTCGCAAATTTATATGCAAAAGATCCATACAAATTAGAATTATGTTTAGAATATTGGTGTCCTCCAGATTCTCAATCTAATTATAGATATCAGTCTAGACAAGTATCACTTTTTCGTTTTGTCAAAATGTCTGGAGAAACTATACCATCATTATTTTTTGTACCTTACTTAAAAATGTTGTGTAGCCTTTCAAATTCTCCTCATTCAGCTTGCTTTGCTTACAAATTATTAAGGCAAGACGGTCAATCTTTAGTGAGCTCAACAATATCATGGGATCACTTCTTTAATTCTTTAAGCCGATATTTTAGTAACTTGCGACAGGAACATCCTCCCGCCAATGATACAGTTTATAGACATCGTAATTATCCTAAAGGAATCACTCCACAAGAAGTTCAAGGACTGCACAGTGTTTTAAGTGTTATTAGAATGGTAGCTGAGCAAGATGAGTTTTCGCGGGTGGCTTTGTGCGAAAACCCAAATTGGTCTCCTCTGACGGTACTTTTGGGTTTAGTCAGTTGTTCGGTTCCTATATTGTTAAAAGCCGATCTTTTGACTACTTTAGCCGCCCTGGCCAAAACCCCAAGTACAGCTGCTACTTTATGGCATAATTTGGAAGCTTCTCAAATTCTTACTACCATTCCTAGTACTAGTAGTTATACACCAAGAGGAATTAAGGTCTGTAAATTTGATTTTTAATCATTCAGTAGAAAAACATAAAAAAACTTATTATTTTTGTTTTAATTTTGCAGACCGAACTGGATGAAATAGAATCAAGAAATGAAGAATTCCCTTTAACGAGAGCTCTTCTTCATCTTTTGGATGTTTTAACCGATGTCCCTGTTCCTCGATTACTCGGTGCAGGTTGTCGTACTCCAGGATTTGATCCTTATTTGCATTTTATTATAGATTCTGTATTTTTAAAATTCAACAACAGGTCTTATAAAAACCCCGAAGAAAAATGGCAGGTGGCAACTAGTTGCCTAAAACTTTTGGTTAAGTTTTTGAAGCAATACGAGCCCCGTAGTGAAGATTTTTTCGGTGTTAGAGTTGAAGCTCCGGGAGGTGGAACTACTCCAATTAATCCACCACCAGGATACCATCTAATGATAAGCCTGAATAATAAATCAGAGCTTTTGCGACTGGTAATTTTATTCATAATTTAAATATTAAAATTATGATTTTTTTTTTTTTAAATTGTTATTGTAATTTTTAATTTTAGGTTCTTCATTTAATTGATGAAGGTGTTCAAAGACTAGATACGTATTCGACATTTCCTGGAAAAGAAGCTTTGGAGAAAAGTAATCTTTATTGTTTGGAACTTTTAGACGTTGCATTATCTCTTCAAACAAAATTTTTATCATTGGTTACAAACGCAGGAGCTTCTTTACTACTAATAGGATTGTCAAAACTTTTACTAGGCGTAAATCCTAGAAGTGGAAAAACTGATCACATGCTTAATATTACGAAATACGTTGTTTACAATGAATGGCTGCCGAAACATTCGTACCATTCGGTACGAATTTTAGCATTTATTGCTTCTCAACCTTCTACTCAAATTCATCTCGTCGGGTTGTTTACCAGTACACCGACATTGAAAATAGAAATACGTCATGGATTCGTCGAATGTTTAGAAGCGGAAGACGATGAGGAAAATCCAGATGATGAAGATGACTTTGGTATAAGAAGCAAAACCAAAGAAATAATTTTAAAATTGCTTCAACAAAGTTTGAATCTCTCATCTCCAAATATTGCTCTCTATTTAATTGGATTCGATTTAAACAAAGATTGTAAAAAAATGATTTTTCAGCAGCCTGGAATTTTACAAACTCCAAGAACTATATTACATTCGTTGCTTCGAATGTTAAACGACGGAATCAAAGCCAGAACCGGTAATTTTACCGTCGTTCCTAAATCTAAGCTGCTCGAAATCGGGTATTGTTTACTGTATCAACTATGCTCAAACAGTAAGACCTCGGAACCGATTTTAAGATTTTTAAGATGCTGCCACGATTTTCTTCCTCGACATGTGGCTTGTCTACCTTTTAAACCTCATAAAAATTCCTCGGAGCGTAATCAAATGGCTTGGCTATTAAAAATCGTGGCTATCGAATTGAAAATTTGCGCTGCTAATAAACAAAATTCTCAATTGCAAAATTTAGTAAATTTACTTATCGGAGATCAATCAGAAGAAGATGGACGTTCAATGGTTGATGAAGATGACATCGTTAATCACAACGCATTTGATCCGAGAGTTTTAGACCCGGATTTTTCACAAAGTTTGAATTCTTCGACTTCCGGTCAAAAAAGGAACGATCAAAGATTTCTCAGAATATTAAATTTAATCAATTTCAGTATTGAATACATTCATACTCCCGATTGGGAATTTTTCGATTCTTCCGAAATAGAAACAATATTAACTCGTTGTGAGGTGCAAGTAAATCAAGCACTAAAACTAGTCGATGTCAAAGTTCTTCATAAAATACTAACGGATGAGTTGGCGGCCATTCAAGGAAGTTCCACGGCTTCACAACGACAATTGATTTTAAATGAAATTAAAGACGTGTGCGAATACGCATTGGCTAAAAATAAACTGAAAACAAAAGCAACGGCGACTCTGCACTTAATGGAAGCCTGGAGACAAGTTACCGAAATCATTTTTGCAGTTACTCCGAACGAAACTCTTCAAAACGATTACCGGCAAGAGTTAATTATCGATACTCTTCACATATTACTTTATAAAGTGATAGCTGCAGAGAATGTAGTGCCGGAAATAGCCAGTTTATCATCGGGAGTTATCATGATCCTTTTAGTTAATTTAAGACAGTGCCAAGCTTTAGAACATCGGGAGAGTAGAGATTCTGCGACGCGACGAAATGAAGACACGGGAGAAATCACGATCATGCTTTCAACTCTGCAAGCGAATTCTAACACTTTAAAAAATATCTTTTGCGGAATATTGCAATGGATAATCAATTCAGGAACTGCTTCTCAAAAGCTAAGAGCAAATCTATACGGCTCACTTTTGAATTTCTTGTATATAACGTGCGTGGACGTTAACGAGGACGGAGAAGAAGATTTTGAGGATGGCGATAGTCTTTACACCACCAGATTAGATAATTCAAGATACAGACTTCCTAGCGATTCTGAAAATGTATTGAGAAAAGTTATATTGAAAGTTATTTCTCACTTCGGTGAAGGATTGGCGGATGCTCTTTGTCACGATTGTACAAGAGGTCACGACGTTTGTCGAATGCTTGCACTTTCCTGCATGGACGTCCTGATAGAACTTGATCCGTTTACATCGTGGGTGGGCTTTCTATCCGCCAGAGGATATTTACAGCATTTGATTGACAGTTTGTTAGAATCTGATGATGAATTAGTAGAGATTTGTGCCAACGATCGCGTGAGCACTCTGAGACCTCTTTACGTTTACGAATCGAAATTGGTTTTGTTGAGCAGAATCGCTTCCACCCGAGACGGCGCCATTTTGTTGATTGAACAAAATGCAATAAATTGTCTATCGTCGATGAAAGTTTTTGATTTTCATCCGAAACCCCTTCTGCCTCACGAGTTAAAAATCGAAACAGATTTTGTGCCATCTCAAAGCGAACGCTTTCAACAAGTTTTGTTTCCGGCGTTAAATTTGTTCGATACCATCGTCACTTCCCTCGGAACCGAAAATCATTCCAGCAATGAAGCAATAGTTCATTTTTTGCTCTGTCACGGAGACACCGTCGCAAGCATATTAAGAAACGCTTCGCCGCGATCTTCTTTGGGAAGTTTAAAAGAAGTTGCCAGGTTGACGAGTGTGATAGCACGATCTTCAGAAATAGGACAACTCGAGGATGCGGTTCAATTTTTCGACGTCAATCGACGTCACGGAGCTCATTCTCCATATTTGTTGAAAACTTTAATGTTGGATTTGATTCAAAGATTCGTCATTACCGAAGAATTAATTCAAGATATCTGGGGTAACAGTTCGCTGTCGTCCAAAGTGGAAAACCCGGCATTCTTCGAATCGCAAACGGATGAAAAAATAGAAACCATTCTTCAAATATCACAAATAGCGTGCAACCTTTTGGTGCACGTGCGAAACGCCATTTCTAGCAAAGATAAAATCGATTACAGAGCAACCGAGCCCGTGTTTTGGCCCGGTTTAATAGATCAGCAAACAATAGATGGGAGAAGTGGGGGGCGGGGTAACGGTGAAAATCCATTACTGGGACACATCGTTCAACAATTGACCGAATGCGTGAATTACTATCACAGAGAGTCATCGATAATAAGTCAACTTAATAGAAAATTATCGGCCGTACCCAACATGACGGGTTCGGAACTGCAACAATTTCTACCCGACAGTCCAATGTCGAATGATATGAATTCCGTTAAGGAGGCTCGTTTTTCTGCGTCCAAAGTAATAAGAAAACGACTGGATCAGAAAACGTTAGAATTGGAGCATTGCTCTTTTCTCATTGAGAATTGTTTGTACATCATTTGGAGTCATTTGGATTTTTTCATGTTGAGAGCATTGCCAAAGCCCAAACAAGGATTCGATTTCGATTTGAATAAAAGTGTTTTAGCATCTACGATATCGAACAAAGACACTTCTCTAATGAGTGTGACTTGTCAAGATATAACAATATTAAAAAATGGTTTAATCAGTATTTTCAATGAAAGTTTCAGTAAAAAATTAATAGCGACAAAAGAGGATTCGGAAAAAGAAAATAAAGAATTTTTAACGGCTTTATTAAGGAGAATAAAAAGATTAATACAGTTTGTGCCTGTCAAATAATTCTCGAGATAAAAAAAAATATATATATATATATATTGTACTTAAATAATAATAATTGAACAGTCACTGCCAACACACAACAGCCATTTTATAACAATTAGTCGATATAAGTTGAAATTTTACATTTACATGTGTAAATAAAAATAAGTAATACTTGAATGTAAATACAAATTTTCAGTTTTTTTTTTTTTATATATAGAAAGGTTGTGAGAGAAAAAGAAAAAAAAATGTTTTTTTTGTTAACGAATGGCAAGTTATTAAATTTTGAAATTAAAAACAATTTAATTTAATTTAACCTTTTACAAATTATGAATGCCAACATTTTTTTTTTTTGTTTTTTCATAACTTTTATGACACATTATTTTTAACATTAATTATAGCTTCATCCCATGGTCCATAAATATTATCTTTATATTTTTGCCAGTGAACGAATAAAAGTGGACAAACAACATTTAATATAATTAATAATAATAAAAATGATATACTTAACGAAAGAGAAATGGCTGCTAGTAAAAAAAATGTACCTGTTGATAGTATAAAACAAAAAGTCACACTAAATGCCATAATGGAATAACGAAAATATGGATAAAGCACAAAAAGTTCCACTGATATTGTTAAAAGTACAAATGCATGAAATGACGTTTCAAGTCTAGAAGCTAAACACACCGAACTGAATATTGCAGAATTGAGTGATAGAGAGCTCGTAACAACTGATTTTGGATAACGATAATCAAAAAATCCTAAATGTATCAGCATCATAATTGTAGAAGTTGCATATATTGTATCTGTGCTTATTGTATCCGTTAAAGTTCTTAAAACGGGTGATAAAATATAGCCGAGCAATAGTAAAATTCCAACCCTTTTGAAATTTTTCGATATGATCATTAAATACGAAATCGACGTGTGAGTTTGTGCGTAATAAAAATAACACAAAATAACAATAACGCTCGTGAATAGAAAAACGGTTCGCGGTGAAATCCAATCGTTGTGTAAATAAGTAAAAATAATTGAAAAAATAATACTTATGCACAGTTTTTCGGTTATTTTAACAACTTCCGATAGGGTTTCGTAATACGTTAATTCTTTAACGTAAATATTTTTTTTCAAATCTTTTAAAAATGATTTATCCGTGTAATTATCCGGATATCCAACATTTTCATACAAGTTTTTCTTCCACGGTTGTTTAAATGAATATTTTTCATTATTATTTTTCAATTCGGAAATCATTTGCGTTAATTTTTTGTCGTGGCACTAACATCTCCATTTATATTTATAGCGATAGTGGCGCTAACCTTTCGGAAGCTATTGTCATTATTATTATTATTATTATTTAAGTTGAATAGAAATTTTTTTTTTCTCTGTTATAATACAATTGATTTTATTAATTGTGTAAATTAGATTTACGAGATTCACACACAACGAATTGAATTTTATAATTCAATTATTTAAGTTAAATACGAAATAAAATAAAATAATTTCAATACAAAAACAACCTGCATAAGTCTCTACGTCGACAGTCAACGTGGAAGTTAAATTGATTACACTTATTAATTTACTTTTAATTTAAGGTAAACGTTCAACACATTTGTTACGTGTTTAATTTCATTTTCAATTTATTTTATTTTATTTTAATTTTTATTAAGTGTACGGTTATATTTTTATTTAAAATAAAAAAATTTATTAATTTACAAAAAGAAAATATATATATATCATTCGATCTGCAAAGTGGTAATGATTGTTTAAGTAAAAAATTTTTTTAATTCATATTCTTAAAAATATACATTTACTCAAGTGAAAATTGTAAAACATTTTAAATTTTCTTCGTTTGATTATTTCTATATTCAATTATCATAAACACGTGTTTGATTTTTCATTTTAAAATAAGGTTCAATAGTTATTTTCACTCATTCGTTATTTTTGCCATTTTAAGTAATTATTTAAATTACATCTTGTTTTTAATTGAATTTTCTTTTTTCCTCTACTCATAAATAAATTCATTACTTATGCTTTTAAAATTTAATTTTTGCTTTTTTTCTTGGACATATGGTTCATTGACCTGGAATTTAAGGTACTTAACCATTAAAGAAGATGCATCAATCTTTCAAGATTTCATTTAGGCCTACTTAACAATATTGAAGTTATTTTTGAATTTGTATTGAAATGCATCGTGCTACCTAATATTTTCATTAAAAATATATAATTGTACATTTGTGAAATTTGCAAAAGCCTTTGTAAGATTCAGTTTTTTTTTTTTTTTCCCCCGATTCATTTTTATAGCAATGGCTGAAAAGGCAGGGAAAAACGATAAGAAGAAAAATAATTATGGAGAAACGACCAATGATAAAAAAGGAGCTCAAAAGAAGAAAAATATGCCAAAAGTAAATTTAAAACAGAATAAAAAAGAAAAAGATCAAAAAACTCAATCAAAACAATCTAAAATAAAATCAGGCAAGTTATTTTATTACTTATCACTTATTAAATTAACAATTAATTAGCAGTAGTATTTTTCTTAAATGAAACTATTTTTTTTTTCTTTCAGATTCATTTTTAAAAAATTTATTCATAACATTTTTAATTCAATGTTTGTACATGTTTATTTTCTTGGGATTTTTTTACCTTGTCGATAAAAATAAATTTATGGATGTGAAACAAAAATTTGGTCATTTATTATTATCCGGATCAAAGTTTTTACCGGAGAAAGTTGCCAATGTTGGAATATTAATCGTTTCATATATTGACCCTGTTATTGATGGGTCATTACATTATTTAGGTGTTGCTGCAGGTTATGTTTCAAATTATTTCGGTTCTAATCCTAATATAAAAGCACATTGGGAAAATATTAAAAACATCAGTTCCATTTCGTGTGAACGCGTAGTTGATTACATTCGGACGGTTTTTCAACAAGTTACAGTACTTTTCAACGGAGAGAAAAAAAATTAAATTAAACCTATAATATAGAGGTTTATTATTATTATTATTAATATTATAATTATTATTATTGTTTGAATGAATTGTAATAAATGAACAAAAGCTTTCCAGTACTTAATTGGCTACTAAATTTGATGGAATTTCACAGTGTTGAGTCATAATATTATTATTATTATTATAAATAGTAATTAATTACATAATATAAAATAAATTTAAAAAAAAAAAAAAAGGTTCTGTTTTAATAAAAACGATAAGTTTGTATGTTGTCGGGCATGGTAATAATAATCGATTAGATAAATATTTATTGAAAAAAGATAATAATAATAATTAATTAATGATTAAAATATTAAATTTTTATTTAAAAAAAATAAATTTAAATAAATAACAATGTTTTGTAATAATACATAAAAAAAATAAAAGAATATTTGGTTTTCAATTTTTCGAATGTTTATTATTGTGTACAACATGGAGGGGGAAAAAAAAAAACAATAAGTGCTTTTATGTTAAAAGGCCTTATTGAAATTTAATTAATTAATTATTTAATTTAAATAATTTAATTTAAATTTAAAAAAAAAAAAAAAAATATTTCATTACTTTTAATATTCGATAAATAAATAAATAAAACTTAAATTTAATTTCAATAACATAATTTATTATATTATTAAATTGATTTCGAATTCAATAACAAACAAACAAACAAACAAAAAAGTTATTCGAATGTTTAATGTTTGTTTATATAACAAACCGTTTTGTTTTTTTTTTTGTTAAATAAATTTCAAAATGGTGGTGAACAGTTTATTTAAACATAATTTTTTTAAATATTCACAACAGCAACAACAACAGCAAAAAAACATAACACTTATCTTAATTTAAATTATATATATATATTAAAATTATTTAATAAATACATAATTAAATTTAATTAAATAATAATAAATTAATACATAAATAAGTTTAATGTTTTAAAATAAATGTTAATGAAAATTTTTATATGTAATTATTATTATTATTAATTCTTGTTAAGTATAAAAAAAATAATAATAATAAAATTTTAATGGAATTTTTTTTATTTTTAAATGCAATTTCGATAAAGTTATTAATTCATTCAATAAATAATAAATAAAAATGGTTTTGATTTTGATACAATTAAAATTTTTCTTTTAATTTTTAAATTTAATTAATTAATTATTTAAGAAAAATTATAATTTAAACTCGTTAATTTTACATTTATTATTTATTATAATTTTTATTATTTTAATTTTATTATTATTATTTTTAATAGGATAAACAAGCATAAAAAAATAAAATAAAAAATTACGTAGGAAAATTATTAATATAAATTATATTTACATAAATATTCGTATAAATTAAATTAAATTAATTTACAAAAATAATAATAATAATAATATTTTATCATTTGTTTTTATTATTAAACAATAAGAGCAATAATCCATGTGTAACAAAAAATAAATATTAAGTAAAAATTTTTATTTATCAATCGAATAACATTTATTTAATTATATATATATATATATATATATATACATGCAAACAATCGAACAATAGTTAAAAAAAATGAATTGTCATACAACTCGAATTATTTTTTATTATTATTATTATTAATGAAAATTTTGATTTTTTTTTTTTTTTTTTTTTTATTTAAGTATAAACAAAAAAAAAAAGAAAAAAAATATATTATTATAGTACTTGGGAAAATCTTTTTTTTTCTATTTTATTCATTTGTTTTAATTATTTCTTTTTTATTTATTTATTAAGTTAATATGTAACCCAATAATTATTATCATCATTATTATTTTTTAATAAGCTGTTACGTTTATAGATAATAACAGGAGAAATAATAATAATAATTGTAATGGAATTTGTTTTTTTTTTTCTAAATGACAAACATATTTGGTGACGTGATAATAATAATAATAATCTATTATCACCATAATTTAAGCTTGTTAACAATTTGGCAACATACAAACATAATGATGATAATTCTAATATTATTATTATTTTTTTTGTTTATGTAGTCAAAGTTATAAGAATATCGATAAAAGTGTTTTTATGATTTTTTTACGTTAAGAAACAAAAAAAAATTATTATTATTATTATTATTTAAATTTGTTTTTAATTAATTAATTAAATAAATTGACAACGGTCGACTTTTTTTTCTACAAGTTATAATAATTTCGGTATAATTTTACACTATGCTAAGCTTATTAACATAAAATACTTTAATAAATATATATTAAGGTGGTTAGTGATAATAATAATAATAATTTTTGTGTATTTAAATACTCTCTCTCTCTCTCTTTTAAGTGATATATATATAGATAATAACACCCTAATTGATAACAAAAAAAAAAAAAAATTACTTGTTTTGTTACTCACTTGACATAGATACTAAATAATATAAAAGCAATGGAATAAACTTTTAATTATTATTATTATATTATATTATATTATATTATTATTATTATAGTTTTTTTTAAATGTGGTAGTAGTGGGTGGAAAAATCACAAAAATGAATTTAAATGTAATTATTATATTAATATCATGTTTTTTTTATTATTTAACTGATGCTAGATTGTATTCATTTTCAAAAGGTATATATAAATGTTTTTTTGGAATGATGGGGGGTGGGGGTGGGGGTGTAACAAACGAATTTAATTTTTAAAAAATTGTTTGTTTGTTTTGTTTGTTTGTTTTTTATGACAGAGGAAAAGTATGAACCGAATTGGAAAAGTTTAGATTCTAGACCTTTACCGAAGTGGTACGACGATGCCAAAATAGGGATTTTCATACATTGGGGAGTTTTTTCAGTTCCAAGTTATGGTGGAGAATGGTTTTGGAACAGTTGGAAAAATAGAAAAGTTCCAGCATATGTTGATTTTATGAAAAAAAATTATCCACCCAATTTTACGTATCAAGATTTTGCCAAAGAATTCACGGCTGAATTTTTTGATTCACAAAAATGGGCTGAACTTTTTCAAGAAGCTGGTGCAAGGTAAAGCATTCATTTTCCTAAAAAATTTATTTATTTATTAAATTCCGTTGGATTACATAAAATAACATAAATATTTATTTATTTATTTATAGTTTTTTTTGTTTTTATCATATTATGTCATCGAGATTAACAAATATGAATGTCTTATCTCAAAAGTTTATTTTTAAATTTTTATTTGTAATATTATTATTATTATTTAATAACTTATGATTTTTAAAAAATATATATTATTTAAAGAAGCAGAAGACGTTAAAATTTTTAGGTATGTCGTACTGACAAGTAAACATCACGAAGGATTTACGTTATGGCCATCGAAATATTCATTTAGTTGGAATTCACAAGATGTCGGACCCAATCGAAATCTCGTTAAAGAATTAAGCGACGCCATTAGAAATTTTACGGATTTAAAATTTGGTTTATATCATTCTCTCTACGAATGGTTCAATCCACTTTATTTAGAAGATAAAGATAATAATTTTACGACAAACGGTTTTGTTAGAATGAAAACAATGCCGGAATTATACGAATTAGTTAATACGTTTAGACCGGAAGTAAGAATTTCGCCATTTTTTGTTTTTTTTTTTTTTTTCAAAGTTTTACGAAAATAAACAAAATGAAAAATTTATTTAAAGATAATTTGGTCTGATGGCGAATGGGAAGCACCAGACGTTTACTGGACTTCGAAAGAATTTTTAGCTTGGCTTTACAATGATAGTCCAGTTCGGGATACGGTCGTGACAAATGACCGTTGGGGTCAAGGTAGTCTGTGCAAACATGGCGATTTTTACACGTGTCAGGATAGATATAATCCGGGAGTTCTTCAAACGCATAAATGGGAAAATTGTCTTACTATCGATTCAAAAAGTTGGGGGTATAGAAGAAACGCGCCATTAAGTGATTACATGACCATTGAAAAATTATTACAACAATTGGTTCAAACAATTTCTTGTGGAGGTAAGCAACTTTTTAAACAAATTTTAAAAACATTTTTTTAAACTAAAAGCAGCCTTTTTTGTTTTTAAGGTAATTTTTTGGTTAATGTGGGACCTACCAAAGAAGGTATAATAACACCTATTTACGAAGAAAGACTATTACAAATAGGTACATGGTTACAAATCAATGGAGAAGCAATTTACTATTCACGGCCGTGGGTTGTTCAAAATGACAGTTTTTCCGATAACGTTTGGTAATGTGGAAAATCCTCAGACATATTTTATTCCAACGAATAATCTTATTTATAACGACAACATTTTTATTTAAAGGTATACTCAAAAAGACGAAAATGTCTACGCGATGGTAATCGGATGGCCCAATCGCGGATCAGTCGTTTTAAAATCGATAAAATTAGGTTATAATGCAACGGCCGCCATGTTGGGTTACGGGGATGGAAATTTAACAATGAAACAAATAAACGATTCAGTTTGGATAAAATTTCCAGAACAAAACAAAGTAAAAAGTCAATGGGTGTACACTATTAAATTATTAAATGTTTATCATTAGGGGGAGAAAAAAAAAACCGTTTTTATTAAAACGTATGTATATAAGAAAAATATCACTGTTTACAAATTAATTAAACTACATTTTTATCCATTTTATTTATTTATTATCCAACGTATTTTCTTCTTTCGAATCAATTTTTTCGTTCGAAATCGGAGGTTCGTCGGGGCCTGCAGCCTGCGTAAGAGATAATTCAAATTCGAATGGTTCAATTAATTTTTTTCCAGCGTGGGGCGGAGGCCCGATTATTTTTACGATATCTTCGTAATTTAACGTTTCTTTTTTTATTAATTCTTCAGTCAACTGAAAAAAAATGGAAGCACACAAAGGTTATTATTATAAATTTGATTTATTAATACGATTTTTTTTTTTTTACTCACTTTTAACAATTTTTCTTTATTTTCCAACAGAATTTTTTCAGTCTCTTTATATACTGATGTTATCAGCATTCGTGCTTCTTCGTCGTACAAAGCAGCAAGGTATTTACTATAAGGTTTTTTAACATTTTCATCTGAACCGGGTCCATCAAATGACATTAGCCCGACTTTTTCTCCCATTCCAAATGTTTTTATTTGAGCGTAAGCCAATTTGGTGACTTTTTTCAAATCGTTTTCACCTTTGCTGGTAACTTTATTGAAAATTAATGACACGGCAACTCGACCTCCGAGACCCATTGCCATTTTTCCAATTAATTCTTCTTTCGTGTATAAAAATTTTTCACTTTGTGCAAATTGCGTCCATCCGGCTGCCGTAGCCGTTCTAGGTACGATTGTAATTTTTAATAAGGCTTCGCCGTATTTTGATAACCATCCGACAAGTCCGCGACCGGCTTCATAATAAGCGAGCATTTTTTTTTCCTCCGGTGACATGGCGCTAGATCTTTTTTCAGTACCTCCAACAACTCTTTCGACTGCATACTCTAAATCATCTCCTTGAACAATTTTCTTTTTATGCCTGGCGGCGTGTAAAGCTGCTTCATTGCATACATTAGCAATATCGGCACCACTGAAACCCGGTGTTAAATATGCAAGTCGTTTTGAGTAAAGCTCAGGTTTTTGTTCTAAATGAATACTTTTCAAGTGTTGTTCGAATATTTGACGTCTTTCATCATAAGTCGGTAAATCAATTAAAATTTGACGATCGAACCGTCCTGGTCTGAGAAGTGCTGAATCCAATACATCTGCTCTATTTGTCGATGCTAACAATACGACACCCTCATTTGAAACCACTCCATCCATTTCTACGAGTAATTGATTTAAAGTCTGTTCTCCTTCTCTGTCACCTCTACCAGAATCTACAGCACTTCTTTTTTTTCCAACAGCATCAATTTCATCAATATAAACAATGCAAGGACTACGTTTTTTTGCTTCATTAAATAAATCTCGAACTCTAGCTGCACCCAAACCTCCAATCATTTCAATAAATTCAGAGCCGTTCATGGATAGAAAAGGTACATTGGCTTCAGTAGCTACAGCTTTAGCTAAAAGAGTTTTTCCACAACCAGGAGGTCCTAGTAAAAGTGCACCTTTTGGAACTTTTGCACCAAGGCTTTTGTAATGCTCCGGTCTTTTTAAATAATCAACAAATTCCATTATTTCAATTTTAGCCTCTTTTAAACCTGCGACATCTGAAAATTTCACTCCTTTTCCCGGTCCAGTCAATGGGTCAACCAATGTAAATTTTGCTTTTGATATATTCATCTGAAATTAATTAATTTCAATGCATTATTCAATTATTAGCCTACAATTTAAAAAAAAAAAAAAAAAAATTATTACTTACAAAATCTGTTAATCCGGGAAATTTAAAATTTCTAAATTTATAAAATAACAATCCTATTATCAAAACAGTCAAAATGGCAGGCAATGTATCGATTGCTGCATTGCTGTAATATTCGATAGGCACTCCATTTTTTGGAGATATACCCAATTGTTTCTCTGCCTCTCTTAATTTTCCTTCAAATTTACTACTGTCTGTCACTTTGAGTATGTAAAATGGAGATGAAGGCTAAAAAAAGAATAATTAATAATAAAATTGATAGATGCCATTTTTAATTAAAATCTTAAAAATATTAAACATTAATATCTCTGTAACTATCACGAAGTGAAATAAATCAATTACTAAATAATAATAATGATTAAAAATTATAACTTAATAGAAATAATTACATCTAAAATTTACTTGAAAAAATATTTTTAAAATATTTTTTTAAAAATTAAAAGTCAATTACGGTATTAAATGTTATATTGAAAAAAATTACTACACTATTGCATCAGCATTATAAAGCCTATAGAAAAAGTGTTGTTAAAACTAAAACTGAAGCAAAACATAAGCAGTAGAACTAAGAATTATTATTAATTTATTAAGTAAATTTTTTTTCTCAATGTTTTTAAGAAAAACTTTAACATACATGTTTATTTTTAATAATGGCTCCTTTTTGTAAAACGACAAGAACTTGTTGGGTTTCTAAGCTGTAAATAAGTTTATCTACTTCTCCTTTGGCTAATATATCATTTTTAAATTCTTCCCAAGAAATAATAGCAGCTTCAAATCTTCTTTGATTACTATTACGGAATAGTAAAGAATATATGAACCACAAAACAGCCCAGGTCATTAAAAATTTTAAAAAATTAAAATTGTTCTCTGGAGGATTTTTATCCGAATCATTAGGTTCTTTTTTAGTATTCAAACAAACTGAAGTTTTACTAACATTACGTTTGAATACTTCTAAATTTTTAATGCTTTTTGTACTAAGTAAAGAGGGTAAGTTTTGTTTATCTAGCCATACCAAAACAGCTTTTCTGGTACAGAAAGAATTTTGTTTAGATATTATTAATGATTTTCTTTTGAGAAAAGATTTTCGTGAATTACAGTTCATTAAATAAATCGACCTGCAGGCCGAATATTTAAACCAAATAGAACTATGAAACATTTTTAATAATGAGTTGAAAAAATACTGTTACTTAAGGTTTAACATCCTGGACGTTTTGTTTATAAAAAATTTAAAGCAGACGCTAAAACTTTTTTTGGATTAAAGCCACGAATCAAAGGAAAATAATATGTCGTAGATACTTCAATAGAATGCTGTCTACATATTACTAATTATAACCTTTAAAGTGATTAATGTACATTTTTCCTTAAAATTGTTTTCTTTTTTATTAAACTTTTTTAAACATGGTAAGTGTATTACATATGTAAAATTAATTTAAAAAATTTTTTTTATTTCTAATAAAGTTTCCACGAAAAAAATTTGTCAAAAATACCATGTTGTCTATCAAAAGGTAATTTTTTAAACTATATTTTTTAGAAACCATTGATGTTACACGGGCACGAACGTGCAATTACACAAATTAAATATAATAGAGAAGGTGATTTATTATTTTCTTCTGCAAAAGATAAAGAACCGAATGTTTGGTATTCTTTAAACGGTGAAAGATTAGGAACTTTTATCGGCCACGAAGGAGCAGTATGGTCCATAGATGTTAATTGGGATACAACTAAATTTATGTCTGGAGCAGCTGATAACAAACTCCTTTTGTGGGATGTTAAAACAGGAAAATCAATTGGAAAAATTTCAACAAATTCTGCAGTAAGATGTTGCCAGTTTAGTTATTCAGGAAATTTGGCTTGTTACTCTACGACTACTCAAGGAGGACATCTTTGTGAATTATTTGTAATCGATGTTAGAACCAGTGATATTTTCGAAGGGAATTCAATATTAAGAATGACTTTTGATGAAGCAAAAATTACTTCTTTATTGTGGGGAAGTGTTGATGAAACTATTATTACTGGACATGATAATGGAGAATTACAACAATGGGATATGAAGGTAAAAATTATTTGTGTTATATTTTTCTTATATTAATTGTAAAATATTTTACAATAATACTTTTGCTTCAAAAAATTAATTATCATTTACAATATATATTTTCAGAACGGGAAGAAAATTGTATCGACGAAAGATCATTTTGGAATGATAAACGACATGCAAATGAATAAGGACAGCACCTTTTTTATTACAGCTTCTAAGGATTACACTGCTAAACTATTTGATTCAGATACACTTTTTTGTTTAAAAACTTATAAAACAGAAAGACCTGTAAATAGTGCAGCAATTTCTCCACTTTTAGACCATGTACATAAATTTTTAATTTCAAGTTTTCGTCTATTCATACTTTTAAATCGTCTTAAGAAATCATAATAATTTTTAATAATTTTAATAGGTTGTATTAGGAGGTGGGCAAGATGCTATGGAAGTAACTACAACTTCTACAAGAATAGGTAAATTTGATTCTAGATTTTTTCATATGGTTTTCGAAGAGGAATTTGGAAGAGTCAAAGGTCACTTTGGACCTATTAATTCTGTAGCTTTTCATCCAGATGGAAGAAGTTATAGTAGTGGCGGTGAAGATGGTTACATTAGAGTTCATTATTTTGATAATTCATATTTTGATTTTTCTTTTGATTATTAAATTATTTTGCTTATATCGAATGGCAAAAAATAAAGAAGTATTTGAGAAGAGAGAGAAAAAAAAAAAAAGTTTTTTTTTTATAATAAAATTTTTAAATTTAATTTTATGTTTTTTTTTTCTTTTTTTTTTTTTTTTTTGATATAATACTTACTTTTATAATTACGAATTTAATTTAAATTACGTCAATTTCGGCTTTAGGCGTAGTAAATAAATAAAAACAATTTTTTTTTTTTCTTATTTATCATTCAAAATTATTAAAAGTTTATTTTGGTCGGCCATTAAATATTGACGGAAGTTGAGGTTTGAAATTTAAAAATTTACTTTAAAAAAATTAAAACGTTTTTGAATTCACTCATTATTTAAATAAGTTTAAATAAAATTTTCATATTAAAATAATTAACAAAATTAATTTTTTTTTTTTTTATCATTCGAAAGGAATTTTTGTGTAAAATCTTTTAAATTAAAAGTGAAAAAAAAAAAAACTTTTTTTTTTAAATGATATGTTCAGGAAGGCAATAAATGTTTTCTGCTTAATTTATTTATATGTCAATTGTTTTAATTAAAATTTCTGCTTCTTGCATCATAACACAAAATTAAACATCGGTAGTGTTTTTCGTTATGAATTTAATTTTTAATATAAGTTTACTGTATTTATTTTCACTTTTCCCACTCTATAAAAATAATCCCATGCCATTTATTGAGTCATGGTTAAAAAAAGACCAAAATGATGGCACCGTCGAAAGAGATATGACTAGCTCATTAACCGGAAGAGATGAAAGTTTTGGATCCGCTCATCAAAACTATCAAAATTCATTGATAAGAAAAAAAAAATGTGATGATGGTGAGTTAATTTGTTAACAATTTAAAAAATAAAAAATTAATTTGCCAGAAATTTGAATGATTTAATCACGGTAATAAATTTTTTTTTTTTTTTTTTTTTTTTTTTAATGTACTACGTTCTAGAATACCAAAAGTATTTTTTTTTTTTATGATTACAAAAGTTAAGTTAATTAATTATAAATTATTTTACAGAAATGATCGATATAAACTCAAATAAAAAAAAATTAAGTTCGAAATTTGATCGAAACGAAAATTTCAATCAACCGGATGTGTCCTTAAATACAAAGGAAATAAATTATGTTAAATACGAAGAAAAAAATAAAAACGATCCGACATTTGACGAATTGGACGAAACCGGAGATTTTAATAATAATAATAATTACCATCCGAAACAAATACATTCGAATGTTAAAAATGAAGATAACATGAATCGTCCTTTTTTAAATAATTTAAAAAATGATAAATATATTGATATTGTTCCTTATAAAGATATATTACCCAATAACAGATTGACTAATTCTCGTGGAAATAAAGATTTAAGTTTTTTTAATGAAAATTACGGGAAATGGTCGGGAAATGGTGATAAAATGAAAGAATTATATTCTAATAATCCGAACAATTACATTTCGAGAGGAAATTCATTAAACGGAGGAAATTTTATGCAAAATCCAATGTCCGATAAAGATCCATCGAATAACGAGTATAATACAAATGATGAACCCGAAGGAAGAAATCCACAAGTCGAAACCGATTATTACGATTCGGAAACAAATCCATCCATAACCGATAATGAATTCGATGAGGGAAACGAATATGGGGATTCATTTTCCGGTCGTTCTTTTCTGGATAAAAGAGACGAAACGGCACAACAAAGAAGTTTACAAATGAATAATAATAATAAATATCGAAGTCCTGGAAATTCACAAAAAGCCATTTACGAAGCTTTGAAAGTTATGAATCATCGTGGTCCATCTTATCAAACCAATCAAATCCCGTTATCAGAATTTCAAAAAAATCCAAGTTATCAAAGAAATTCCGGTCCTAATTATTTATGGAACGTTAATTCGAATTTTCAATCAAAAGCATTGCAAGACGTATTGAAAAATTCACAGAAAGCTTTAAAAGAAGTACAATTATATCAACAAAAACATGTTCCCGCTTTGAGATCGGATAATAATTTGAATTTTGATGTGAGTCACGAAGTTAAAAATTTCCCCATGATACAATGGTCTGCCAACAATTTAAGATTCGATGAAAAAAGATTAAAAAGAGAGGATGAAGATGAGCAAAAAAATATGAAAACTGGTACGGATGAAGGAGGAGGTGGTGAATATGAAGACGAAGAAGGAAAAGGACACAACGATGAAGAAGAATATTATGAAGATGCTGATTTGTCAAATAACGAATCGGGTAATGAAATTCATTCAGCTGATGATGATGAAGTTAATAAAAAATTGGTTAAGAGGGAATTAAATACAGGTAAAAGATGTAAAATATTTAAATATGTATATTATTTTAAACATGGAATTATGATTTTTTTTTTATAGGATCCTCATTAAAAAATTCTAAACAAGAATTGGATGATAACGGTTCTGATGATTATACTTTCAACATAGAAAATGCTCCCGTTGAAAATATCGTTAAATCGAGAAAAAATTTCTTTTCGCAAGAAGGTAAAAAACAATAAATTATACAATAATTAAATATTTTTTTCATCATGCATATTTTAATTTAATCATTTATCGAATCCAGTAAATCCTTCTTGTTTTTTTGTGTCCGTAAGGTGTTTTCGAACGTAACGGTTTGAATTTTATTTAAATTTATTTAGGTTTCAAATGCATTTGTTTTTTTTATTAATATTTTTATATTTTGCAGATAATGTCTCCTATTGATGATACTTTTTTAAGTAAAGTGCAAGCAGAAGGTCGAATGTATCTTAATTATATTGACGTTAAATATTCCTGTAATTAGGGGAAAAATCAAAAAAAAATTCCGGAAGAAAAGGTGTGAAAATTTGGGATCAGTGGGGTAAATGGTCACCTTGTTCAGTAACTTGTGGTATCGGCCGATCTACTCGATGGAGACATTGTGTCGGTGGTGGTTGCGCCCAAGGTGAAAAAGAAGCACAAATAAAAAGATGTACTAATCCTGCTTGTTAAATAATGTGAGAATCCAAAATATCTTTTCAATTCTCTTACTAACGGTTTTTTAATAAAAACAGAAACGAAAAAACCCGCGAATGCGTAAAATTTTCATAAAAACATACAGTTGGTGATTTTACGAACACGTTTGTTTACATTATAAATTTACCGTGTAAACCATTTTTAATGTCATTTATACTTGTAAAAATTTCATTTAAATATGTTGGAAGAATTAAGTAATGATTTTTCTAAATATTTAAAAGTAGATTTAAATACTGAGGTTTGTGATGAGTGTGATTTAACTTTGGAAAATTGTATTCGAATAAGAAAATTATGTGTTTTTTTTCTTTTTCCCCCCCAGCTTCATGATGTTCAAGATACAATTGACGATATGCTTACACGATTAGATGAGTTTGAAAATTTATTAAATATGGTAATTATTAATTTTTATTAATAAGTAATTACTCAAGATCATAAGTAAATGAAAAAACATAAAATTATTTTTATGTAGTAATCAAGTATCAAGTCGAACAATCATGTCATTAATTTTGTTAAAATTTGTTTAGGTGAAAACTGACAGTGAACACAGTTCAAGTGCAGCCTTTCCTATTGTTCAATTTAAACAAAAATTAAATTTTTTTTTCAATCAAGTTGATTCTGTAGAAAAATTTGTAAATCATGTAAAATCTGAATTAGAAATAATTGCTGTTCAAGTAGAGGAGGCAGAAGAAGAATTGGGTCAATCTAATGGAAAATTTAAAAATATGTTAAAACCTTTATTTTCAGTGAGTTTTATAATAAATCGAAAAAAAAAAAAAAATTTCGACTAATGTGAACCATTCCGTTTTTAAAAAAAATAACATTCATTAATTTCAGAAAATGTCAACTAGTGATGCTTCAGTTAGAAGACCGAATAAAAGTTATGAAGCACCCATATTATTTCAGACTTCAACTTTTTTTCCCCCTCAATCGAAAAGTTTAGTAGAAGATGAAAAAAAACCAGTTTAAATTTTTTTTTTTTCTTCCTTCAATTTTTCACTCCTTTGTTACTGTCAAAATAGAAACGAAAAAAAAAAAATATATAATTGCTTTAAAAAGTGTTGCATTGTTTATAATTTGTTAAGTGTTTTTAAAAAAAAAAAAAAAAAATAATGTAAAATGTACATTAAATCCATGATGGTCTATAATGTGAAAGTCAAATTAAAGTTTTTTTTATTTTAAAAATCCTGTCTAAGTTTAAATATTTAACTATAAAGAAAAAATGTATTCTAGCTTTTGTTTTGACAAGTTTCATTTGAAAGAATGCCATAGATTGTATGTTTAATTATTAACATCTCGTTAAATTTATCAACATTTCAAAAATTAAATTTAGCAGAAGAATTATGTCGTCTGAATGTTTATTTTGTTTTGTTGTAAATTATTACTTGTGCATTATAAATTGAGAATAAATTAAAAAAATGTTTGAAAATTACAAAATAAAATTAGTTAAAAAATGCGTCACATTAAATTTAAATTATTTATTATCGGGAAAACTTTCATTCGTAGATTTTCATCACAAAACAAAATTGGACCATTAATTCAAGATGATCCGAAAGGGAAAAAAACGGTTTACGGGGGAAATTTAAATGCACCAATTCTTCAAAAATCAATCGGAAGTTTAATGTTTGAACGGTTGACCAAAAAAGACCGGGAAAATGATATCATTCAGGTAAACAATTCTCTGACATTTTGTTTTGATATTGTTTATTTTTTCAGTTAATTTAGTATGAATCATGTAATCACCTAACTAGTGCAACGTTTAATAATTGTTAGTTTTAAAATAAGTTTGTTTGGAATTTAATTTGAATTTTTTCTATAATTTTTTTTTTACCCAGATTTGTGAATCTACTCAATATGAAATGACTAGAAAGGATTTTGTTGAATTAGCAGTGGCTTTTGCTGAAAAGCTTAAAGAAGAAAATATACAAAAAGGAGATTATATTGCTTTGGTGGGAAATAACGGTTTGTTTATGAATGTTGCTTTAATTGGAATATTATTTATGGGTGCTGTTCCTTTTCCAATAACCTATAAAACAAGCCTTGGTAAACAAAATAATTTTAAAACCATTCATTGTTGTTTTTATAATTATGATTACAAAAAAGTGTTTGTTTACAGATGAATTTCATATTCTTTTTAAAAAGATCAAACCAAAATATTTTGGATGTGATGGAACAAATGTCATAGCTCTTAAAAATGCTCTAGCAGGTGTTGAAGCCATTGACACCTCTAAAATTTTTGTTTTGGATCACATTGTATGTATGTTATAATTAAATGAGTTAAAAATGACATAAAATAAAAAACTCATGACATAATTTTTATTTACAGCAAGGCATTGATTCAACACATGTTACATTTCATGATTTTATTAAAAACACAAGAGGAAATGTTGCTAATTTTCAACCAGCCATGGTTGATAATGTTGAAAATGATATTGCTTTAATAATAAAAGGTCTCAGGCACAGCACTTATGGAAAAGCCATAGGGATAACTCATTCAAATTTTAACACTCTTATTGCTTCTTTCGAGTAAGATAAGTTTTGTTATATTTATTCGAATTGGACATTTACATTCGAAGACGGTTACAATAACTACATTTAAAAATTATTTCTTTGACATTTTTTTTTTTTTTTAATTTTAAAAAAGGATTATTAATATAAATACTTAATAATTAAGTTTTTTTATTTATTTTTTCTTCTTAGAGATACTAAAAGTGAAATAAATAATGTCATATTAATGTGTCAAAAGGTTATGTGGATGTCAGGGATTTACAGTCTTATTTGGTCAACTTGTTTCAATTCGAAATTAATTATAATGAGTAAATTTGAAGAAGAAAGTTTTGTTTCAGCCATAGAAAAGTACAAAGTTAGAAAATTTTTTTAATTGTACATACAAAATATAATCAATGAATTAAAATTTAATTTAAATTTTCAGGTGACATCAAGTTATTTATATTCTTCGAGATTTTGGCAATTGTATAAATATAATTACTCGAAAGAATATGATTTGTCCAGTTGTAAAAATATTTACGGTTTCGATGGTTATTTGCCTCATGTTTTAGTGTCTGGGTTAAAGGTTTTCGATAATTTTAAACTCATAATTTTCATTAGAATGTTATAGAAGTAGTTTTATAAGCAATATTAAACTTTATCGCTCATTTTTTAATTAAATTATACAAAATGATATTTAGGAAAAATTAAATTTGACCGTTCAACCGTGTTACGCCGCGAGTGAATTAACCGGAGTTTTTTTAGAAACTGTCACATATCAAAATAATATTGCACTGTGGAAATTAAAACCAAGTTTTTACGGAAAGGTAAAATTTAAATTTAAATTAATTTAAAAAATTCAAATTTTAATTGTGGTTATTTTTTTTTTGTAGCAGTAATGTGCCTCACAGCTTGCCAATATTTTAAAATCTCCATTAATTTCTTGAAAATTTCTATTTTAGGTTATACCAAATGAAAAGATAAATGTAGGAGGACCTACAGTTAAAGGAGAAATATGTATAAAAGGACCTCAAGTAACGAAAGGATACATAAATGATTCTGATTCAAATCGACAATTGTTTGACAAAGAAGGTTTTTTTCATACTGGATTGTACGGTTATTATAACCACGATGGTTATTTTATTGTTATCGATAATATTTATTATGTAATTAAATATAAACAACACAAAGTAATTGTTTTATTTTTAAAACAAAAACTTTTAATTTTCATTTAGAAAAAAAATATGATAATCACAAATTTTTTTGTAATATCGTTAGATATCTCCAAAAGAATTAGAAGGAATAATAAAATCTCTTGAACCTGTAAAAGATGCTTTGGTATCAGGTATCAAACATCCAAGAGATGGTTATTATCCTATAGCTTTTGTCACTCTTCAAAAAGGGAAAAACATGACGGCGGGAGAAATTATTAATTACGTAAACAGTAAGAAAAATTTATTAAATTTTTAAGTTTCAGGTTAAATTTTTTTTGTAACATTTAATTATTTTTAGATAAAGTTGAAGATCACAGTAAACTTAGAGGAGGAGTGATATTTGTACCGAAAATTCCCAGATCTAGAGAAACGGGAGCATTAAATCGTAAACTTGTTAAAAATGTTTTATCCAGGTTTAAAATTTGTACGGAAGTGGATTGTGATATAGAAATAAATGATAAACCCGTTAAAACCTGATTGAAGTAAAAATTAAATTAAGGTAAATAATAAAATTTGAATCAAATTTAAATCGTTTTTAAATATTTATAATTCAAATTCATTTATTATTTATTTTTTAGATTTTTTTTTCCCGTATGATTTTCCGAAAATTTTCTGCATTATTTTTTTTTTTTGTTTTATATAATAGTTTAGGGTAAAAAAAAATTTATTTTATTTTATTTAATTTTTCGTGTGGATTTTTAATATAATTTTTATTTACTTTTATAAAGTATAAAAATTTTTTATGTTTAAATTTTCTTATTAAACTAAACGTGATGTACATAAAACACTTGTTTAGTATGTAACAGCTTATAAAAGTTAACAAAAATTTAAAAAAAAAAATAAAATGTAAACAATTTACGGTTAATTTTGTGTCTAAAATTATTATTTTTCTTTTAATTTAAAATGTGTAAAATATTCTCTGTGAAATCGTATGAAGAAAAAATAGAGCGTTAAGTTTGTTAAAAATACATAAATTTTTAATAATAATTAAAAAAAAAAGTTGAAGTAAACTATATTACATAACGATTAACTTTTGTTTAAAAAATGTAAAAAATTAATAACGGATTTCATTTTTTTTTTATAAACCCATTAGCTGTAAAATTTATACACAATTTTTCATTATTTTTGTAAAAAAAAAAAAAAACAAAAAAAAAATTAAAATTTTATGGTAATAATTAATTTATTTTTGATCATTTTAATAAGAAACTTATAAATATTTTTTTTTTTTTTTGTATTCATTTCTCGATTTCACATTTGTAATGTAATTAAAAATTTTTTTTTTTTTTAAAAACATGATTTGAATTTAAATGTTTTTAACATGCAATATAAACACGCAAAAAATACTTTCAAATCTTTTTTTTTTGAAATCTTCAAAACAAGTTTTCAAAAAAAAAAAAAAAAAAATATCACTTGCTCGTTTCTACACTACAAACTTTTTCCAAATTTTTTTTTTCTTTTTTTTATCAAATTAAATATTTAAAAATAATTTTTATAAATTTCGATTAGTAGACAAACAATATATATGTTGTAATAAAATAAAAAAAAAAGATATTACAGGTTAATTAGTAGTAGTATTTGTTAGTCTATAAAACATAATTAATTTAAAACATTAAATAATGAGTAAAACAACTTATGTTGTGATGAATAACCGTATTTTTTATAATTACACTATATAATCTATTACCAAATAATTGTTTTAATTTAATAATTAACGTTTTTATCTATTAAATACTTATTACGATATAATTTTTTTAGCCTAATAACGAAAAAAAAAAATTTTTAAACGGTTATTATTATATCATTTAAATTTTTTTCTAACGGATTTTCTTTCGAAGAAAGGAAAAAAAATTCGTGTTTTTTATCAAATCTAATTTTTTTTAACGAAGAAACCAACACAAATTCATTTTATAGGGACCATATTTTTCGTACCTTTCTACTTTCAATTAAAAAAAAAAAAATTTAAATTATTTAATTAATTAAAATTACTTTTTTACGAATTTTCGTGTTTATTTATATCGGCCATTAAGGAATTCGAATTTTCACAATAGAGATTTGTTTTTAAATTAAATTTTAATTCTAAAAAGTAAAACGTAAATAAATATTAATACAAATAAATTTCGTTCATTAAAACTAAATTTACGACTTTAATGTATCAATAAGTTAATAATATTTAATATCTTTTTTATCTATCCATTGTCATTCGAATAGCTTCGGGTTGTTTATGAGTTTGAATTTTAAATGATGTTCAAAGAAGGCGGTAAATGGCAAACAAAATGGCTGTTAAATTAACGGATAATGGAGTGAAGTGAAGTATTTGTTGTTTTAATTTAAAAATTTAATATATATATATGCATCAAATTTTACTTTAGGGTGAGTTTTAATTTCATTTTAAAAAATATTTCGATAATTATTATGAATTATTAACAACCAAACACAGAAACGTATTATTTTTATGGTTTTTATGTAATTTTTGAAATGATACACAGTGAATCAAACAATGATTTTGTTCTTTGTTCTTTTAACAAAAAGATAAACATATTAAATATGATACTTTAATATATACAGAAAAGTATTTAAATATAATTTTATAATGGAAATGAAAAGAAAATGTAATTATTAGAAAAAATCATACATTTGCCCACACACACATATATACATATGTATATAATTTATGAAATGTTTTAACAGGTACCTTTTGTACTTGTGTCAAAAATTAATTACAACACAATAATTGTCAACACATATTATTATTATTATTTAAAATGTTTGTAAAAAAAAAAAAAACACATAAAGGTGATGTTAAAATAAAACAAAGTCAAAATGTGAATAAAAATTAATTATTATTATTTTTCATTGTAAAGTACAAAACTTCATGATTAAGTTGATA